CCATCAGCACTATCTAAAGTTGGAATTTTTTCATCGCCCCAAAAAGAAACGCCACATCCATCCGCAGCCACTAATTCCCCTCCCACAAGTCCTTGGCAACCACTGATCTTCCTGTCTCTGTGGATTTGCCTAGTCTGGATATTTCATATAGATGCAATCCGACACTTTTGTGTCCCGGCTTCTTTCACTGAGCATCACGCTTTCCAGCTTCATGCATGTTGGAGCCTGTGTCAGTCCCTTGGTGCCAGCAGAAGTTTCAAATCCTGCAAGCTCCAGCCTGCCCACAGCACCCACAACTCGGCTCCACTCCCTAACTGCGGTAGAGATCAAAAGCCACCCTCCCTACTCGCTCTTGTTTCATTCCAGACCCTATCCGAGCCCTTCTTGGGGAACCCATTTGCAGCTTACTGTGATAAATACATTTTGCACCATGGCCAAGCCTGTGTGCCTCGGTCAGCAAAGGCTGCGCAGTCAAGGTGATGGCAGAGGGAGGACCTGCTGTGGAGGTCACGCAGCTTGCTGGCAGGATTCATTTCCTCTAGAGCTGATGGGCTGGGAGCCCTCACAGGCTGGGCACGGGGGCCACCCTCAGTTCCCTGCCGTGTGGGACCCCCACAGGGCAGCTCAGGACACGGCAGCTGGCTTCCTCAGAGGGAGCGAGGGAGTATGAAGACAGAGCCACAGAAGTGACAGCCAATTCCTTTCCCACTGTATTTCTCTTGCTGTGTAACAAATTACTACGCACTTGGAAACTGAAAACAATGCCCACTAGGGGCCAGACCAGTGGCCAAGTGATTAAGTTCATGTGCTCCACTTTGGTGGCCCAGGGTTTTGCTGGTTCAGATCCTGGGTGTGGACATGGCACCGCTCATCAGGCCATGCTGAGGAGGCGTCCCACATGCCGCAATCGGAAGGACCTGCAACTGGAATATGCAACTGCGTACTGAGGGCTTTGAGGAGAAGGAAACAAAAAGAAAATTGGCAACAGATGTTGGTTCAGGTGCCAATCTTTAAAAAAACCATTAATTATCTCACAGCTGATGTGTTTTAGGAGTCAACGCGGCTCCTCTTGGCCACCTGTCCTCTTTAAAGGACTCACCTAATTGGCTCCGGCCCATGTAGGTAGCCTTCCTTTTGATTTGCTCAAAGGCAACTAATTGAGAAGTGAACCATGGGAGTTCTCTCCCTCTGCATTCTAGGTCCTGCCCACACTCGCAGGAGGGCGTGAGAATCTTGGAGGCCAGCTTAGCATTCTGCCTACCATGGCCATATTCTATTCGTGAGAAGAAAATTACTAGGTCCATCCCACCACCAAGATGACACAAAGGTGTGAAAGGTCAGGGGTCAGAGGCCGCTGGGAGCCATTTCAGAAGCTGTACGTTCCTATTTTACAGGCCCTTTCTCATAGTTGGGAGAGGTAACAGAAGGGTGTCTAATTCTGCCCTTTTGGAGGCTGTAGTCTTTCAACCATTTCCTTGTGCATTCTGTAATTTTGGGTTTCGAGCTCAGCTTCCGAGGGACCGTGGAATGGGAGCGCACAGAACTTTAACCAGGGACTGGATCCCAGGTGAGCAAGAAGAAATGCTCATGCTGCAGCTGCCTGAGCAGGAGGGGCTGGGCACTGAGACCAAGGGCCACAGGCTGAGAGCTGGGACCCTGACCAGGCAGGGGGCGGTATAAAGGCATGCAGAAAGTGGGATCATAGCAAAGCAACACTTTTTGGGAAAGGGGTAGAAGAAATTCCACCCACAGGCACAGAAGATGTAAGGAAATTTGGGCTCAGGTGGGGAAAAACTTTCCCATGAGAGTTTTGTGTTTTCAGGCCTGCTTTGTATAAGTTCGGAGTGCCTGCAAGGGAGTCACCCCATTGTGCAGTCTACAAGCCCCAAAGTTGAGAAATTAATATTAGAAAGTAGTTGTGTCTTAGTGGTACCTCCACATGTCGGTAAGGGAGAGATCCCAGGTAGGAGCTGGGTAGGTCTGACCCATTTTAATAAAAGTATTCTATTCACCCACGTACGGATACAGGCTCACACGCACTCCCATTCCACGGCCCTGGGTTCGTGGGTTCGGATCCCAAGCACGGACCTACACCACTAGTCAGCCACGCTGCAGAGGCATCCCACATACAGAAATTAGAGGAAGATTGGCACAGATGTTAGCTCAGGACTAAGCCTCCTCAAGCAAAAAAAAGAGGAAGATTGGCAATGGATGTTAGCTCAGGGCGAATCGTCCTCACACACACACACACACACACACAAATCTTAGACTGTAGGTTCTTGGGATGTTTTAATTTAAAAATCTTATGCAGGTGGACAAAATCACAGAGCTGCTTTTGGAGCAATGACGGCCATGACTGGGAGTCTGATCTTCTACTCATGGGTCCAGAGCCTCCAGCTGGTCACCTTATCCGGAGGCGACAGAGACAAGGGGCGATGACACCAACGTCAATGTCATACCTTATGACCAGACCTGGAGATTCCAAGGGACCAGGCATTCACATCTGATGGCTCAGTTAGCCTGCCCTCAGAGAGCCAGCCTGCCGGGGCTTGTTGCCATGACCTGTTACACTGCTCGGCCAGGAGGGTGTGTGTGGCCTGTCATATGTGAGTGTGTGGGTCTCGTCCGTGTCCCAGGAGCAGTAGGGGGGCTTGTCAAGTCTTCTGATGGAGAAATCACTCTGGCAGAACATGATCTGAAACCACACCCTCTCCCGAGTGGCCGCTCCAAGGGCCTGGGGAGCCTTGGCATCTGTCCAACATCAGAGTCTTTGTCCAGTATCGAGATGGAAGTTAGAAAGACTTTGAAATGTGACGAATTGCAGCCCCTTTCCCACGTCACCCCGCTTGCCTGGCACGCCCATGGCCCACCCTCTTCCAGGTGGCACCCTGCCCGGCCTTCAGGGGCTGAGTGTCTGCGTGTCTGGTTGCCCCACTGTGACTGGAGCTTAGCTGAGATTCTGCCACGAGGATGTCACCACATCTGCCGCCAGAGAACTTTCCCCTCCACGCCAGATGCTGCTGGGGAACTGGAAGGACAGAGCGCTGGCGCTTCACCCAGCCCACGGGCCCCACCACTTGATCTGTTCTGGGTCGGCTTGCTGTTGACAGTCTGCACGACGTAGGCAGCGTGGGACCGTCACCTGCCCGAGAGTACAGGCCGCCTGGGGGAGGCGAGCTGTGGCCCTCATTACAGCTGTAGCCCTCACTGCCCTGCATGACTGCTGGACCCCCAAAGCTGCCAAAGACAACTTGGTAACCAGCTTGTGTTGGTTGCAGCAGACCCGGGGTGGGGTGGGGGGGCTCCCCTCTCAGGCATCACAGACCATGCATTTAATCACCTTCTCTAGAACTGGGTCCAGAAAGGCCACAGTTGGTTTTCTGGGCAAGAGGGGGCCACGGGATCCAGTAAGGGGCTCCCAGTAGGTACATGACGTTAATAGCTGACGTTCACAGACAGCTTTCTCTGTGCCAGCCCTGTGCTAACACAGAGGTGCCCGAACTTTCTCGCTTCCTGGCACCCTCAGTGTCTTGGTAATTCATGGCACTCCTAGGCTGAAAGAAATATCCAACAGTTCTATTTATGAATTGTTTTAGGTCCCAATAACTTCATAAGTATTTAGGTTCTAATAACTTAGTGGTCATTTAGAAAATAGAATACAAGTCAAGAGAAAGAAAAAACAGTACTTTTATTTCATTCTTTCATAACCACCACTACTTACTAATCGGCTGTGAGTACTGGCCAGCTTCTCTAACCTTGGACTCAGACTGGACACCTCCAGCCTTGTTTCCTGGTCCATGGTGGTTTTCATTCTTTATCCCCCAAATCAAAGAAAACCCAGCTTCTCAAAGATACATGTGAAAGGAATGTAGTGTGATCAACCGTTGAAAGTGTGAACCACCGGGACCTGTTAGTCTGCTCAGGTGGACAGTTGTACAGCGTCGCTGTTTCCCTCCAAAGTTTAGAAAATTTAAGCTACCCTCTGTACCCTTGTGCGTTTCCTACAGAGCTTGGGGACCTCGGAGGCGCCCTGCTAAGGAGTTTCATACATGCTTCCTCTTGTACAGAAAGACACCTTATGGAGAAGGAGCCTGTGGCTCAGATGGGTGGAGCCCTTGCCTGAGGTCACAGAGCCAGGCTCCAGGGCCCCCTAGAGGCTGCTAGAAAGAAACTCAAGTGAGGGCAGCCGACGGGTGGAGAGGAGAGAAGGGAGCAACATTTATGATACTGCAGGGGGTGTGGACGAGGGTCTGGCCTTCAGGTGGGTATGGAGGGGGTGGAGAGTAAGGAATGCTGGGGCTCCAGCAGAGAATCTGTTGGCATCCCGTTGGGGGAGTCTATGACCCTCCTGTGGCCCCCTTTGCCTGTCCTTATCCAGGAGTTCAAAGCTCTTCACAGTGGGGTCTCAGTCCCCTCGGTACCCTCAGGCTGCCGGAGGTCTGCCTCTCTCATGGGCATTGAGGCTGAGGATGCAACTGAGAGAGGGCCGGGGCCAAGTTTACCTGGGTTCGGACAACCGTTCTCTTGACCCATCCTGAGCACAGGGTGACCTTGATATGGCTCAGAAGTGGACTTGGCCCCCAAAGGGGACCCAGCTCCCCTTAGGGAGCTGGGAGCAGAAACACCCCAAAAGAAAGAGAAAGGATGGGGGGCAAGACGGTTGGGGATTCTTAGACTACAGGAGGGGGAGCAGGACCTGGGCCTTTGGAGTCTGTCGTGTCCTCTAGACCCACGAGGGACTGGCGGCCCCCTCACACTCTCGCTGAGGTCCCTGCAGGCCACTCCAGGCGCTTCTTTCTCCTGGACGGGCGCGGTGGAACTGGCAAACCAGGCGGGCGTGGAGAGGGGCGGGGCTTCCAGGAAGGCGGACAGCCAGGTGGGCGGGGCTTAGGGGCCCTTACCCCGAGGGAGGGTCAAGGCCCCCGGTGAGTGCCCCAGCGGCCAGGTCCGCTGGCCTACACCCTGGGCACCCTCCACCCCGGCACGGCTGAGACTTCCCAGGCAGGAAAATACAAAATCTCTTTATTGCTCATTTTCCATAAAAAGTCGCGCTTCGTGGCAGACCATAGGGATCGGATGTGCAAAGCGCGCGACCTGTTCGGCCAGGGCTGTGGCCGAGCCGGGGCGGGACTCGGGGGAGGGGTGCGGCAGGAGGACCCCGGCCCTGCTCGCGGCCGCGGCACGTGCGGGGGGCGGGGGGCCCGGGGAAAGCGTCGTCGTAGGGAGCGCCCCCTGGGGTGGGGAGAGGTCGGCTGTGCCGTCGCTGGAACCCTAGGCTTGGCCCAGGGGTCTCCAGGCCCCACCCCGCTTAGGAGGGGGCTGCGGGACGGAAGCCAAGCTCCTGGTGGCCCCGGGCTCCGGGAGGGCCCTCCCTAACATGGGGAGATGTCGGGGGACGCGCACAGGGTCCCTCCTGAAGATTGCGCAGGAGTCGGAGGGGTCCCCGACCCGAGCCACGGAGAAACTGAGGCCGGGAGCAGCTGGGCGCTCACAGCTCCTCCGGCCCGTCGCCCCCCAGCGCCTGTTCGTAGGGGCACGGCCGGCGGCTGAGGCCGGCCGGCTCGGGGCCGGGCCGTGGCCCCGCGGGCGGCGCCTCCTCCTCCACGCCGTCCCCCCGGCCGCCGCCGCGCTCGTTCTCCGCGTCGCTCTCGTCTGAGTTCTCCTCCTCCAGGTAGCGGTAGCCGCGCACCTTGTGCTGGGGCCGCGGGATGCGGGGCTGGCGCGGGACCACGCCCCGCCGCAGCTTCTGCTCCATCCACAGGTACGAGGCCGCGGCCGCCACCAGCGTCACCAGCAGCACCGACAGCTTAGCCTGGGCGCACAGGGAGGGATGCTGGGGACTCGCGGGCACCCCCACCGCCCACCCAGGGCACTCTCCCACCCCGCAGCGTCTTCTCTGCGGTCCTTCCCTCCTCCCAGGAGCCGCCCACGCCACCCCCCTTCCTGGGCACCCTCCTGCCCACAAGGCTCAAACCCCAGCTCTGCCCCTTCCAGTCACCCTCCTTCTTAGGGCCTCAGTTTCCCTAACTCTAATGATCGTCTCTTTGCCTCATGGGCAGATGGGAGATGTTGATATGCGCCTCGTCAGGCGTGGCCCTCCTTCCCCCGGACTTAGATTACTCTGTCCCTTACCCGAGGGGACCATAAATAATGCCTCTCAGTCGTTTTGACTGGAGCTCACAGTCAGAAACAACTCGACATCATAACTCAGTACATACACACATATTCGCATGCATACTCCCTATGTCCTATTCGATTTAATTTTTTAAATGTCAGTCGGGACCTGCTCAACTGACCCACCAGTGGGGGGCAGCAGAGCACAAGGACCCTGCTCCCTGAGCTCACCAAGGGGAAATAGACCCTCAGCATCCAGCTCAGAGCCCAACATCTGGTGAACAGGCTACCAAGCTACCCACAAGGCAGCTGGGATGTGCCAAAGGAAAGAGCAAGCTGTGAACCTCTTCAGATAGGTAAACCGAGGCCGGCGGGAGTGAGGCACTGAGTGCTGGGTTTGGGGCCACCCAGTGGGCTTGGCCCAAGGCCCGGCCTTAGGGGTGTGGTGGCCTTCAGGGGCTGTGAGGCGGGCACTCAGAAAGTATCTGTGGCCTGGGGCGTGGTGTGGGGGGTGCCTGATGCCCCAGAAACTCTCCTCCACCCGGCCCGGCCTCACCTTCATGGGCAGGCTGGAGCCCAGGTACACAGTGAAGATGGCCACGGCCTGCCACCAATGGTAGATGGTGAAGATGAAGTCTTGTCTCTCTTTGTCCTCATACAGGATTCCCAGGAGTGCTGTGGGCAGGCGGGGCAGGGCAGGAAGGAGAGTGGTGTCACCAAGGGCCCAGGGTGGCTGACCCACCTGTCCAAGCCCTGGACCCTGGAGCGCCAGGGAGCCACTGTAAACGGGTCCTGGCTGCCCACCCCCCCACTGACCCCGCACCCAGCGAACACCCTGGGTATGACACCGCCCCAGGAGCTGAGCAGCAGCAGGAGCAGGTGAGCCCCAAGCCAAGATGCAGGTGGGCCTCGCTCTGGGGCACACGTGTGGCCTCGAAAGCGGAAAGCTCTATGTGCAGTCACGTCTTGTCCTCTCCCGGAACCCAGGCGCGGGGTTCCCGCCTGCGGGGCTGTGTCTCCTCCTCGCCTGGTGCTAAGGGAGGGAACCTGCTTACAGCACCAAGCTGTCTGTGATCAAAGCTGAAGTGGGGAGGGGGAATCTGTTTCCCGAAGAGTCCTCCCTGGGGTGGGCAGAAAGCACCGGACAGGGAGCCAGGAGACTCAAATTCTACTCTCGGGACTATAAGTAAGGTGGAGAGAGTTGGCACAGAGGTGTGGATTCAAATGTTGCCTCTGTGGCTGGCCCAGGATAAGTGAACTCCCAGAGCCACTTCCCCATGTGTAAAATGAGATGACACGTATGATGTTGTGATGTGAGGTTTTCTGGTGACAAAGTCCACACAGCGCCCGGCAGAGCGGACCCTGGCCAGCACTCAGAGCATTAACACCCCATCCTGAGGCTCTGCAGTGTGACCGTACCCCACAGGGCTGCTATGAGGGGACACGGAGCACACGAGGTCCCCAAGGTGAAGGCAGGAAGCAGAGCTGGGCAGAAGGGGACGCCAGGCCCAGGCCCGTCCAGTCATATCATGGGCCCGAGGTACCCAGGCTGGACGCTGCCTGGAGCCTGTTGCCCTGAGCAAAACGGCCAAGACAATGTGGTCCAGCACGTGGGGCTCCATCCCCTACGTCAGACACAGGTGGCTGACTCTGGGATGGTGGGTGCAGGGGTCACCTGAGCCAGCCCCTGCCCTGCCCGCAGCAGGCACGACATCCACCACGCCATACCCCCAGGGCTGATGTTCAAAACTGTTAACAGCACCGGCCCAGCAGAATGGATGCCGAGATGGAAGACCCAAATAGCTGTGCCTGTGTGCACCAGCTGCGTTGTCACTGACACAGGCCCACCTTCGGGCAGAGCATCACACAGCTGAACTCTGTCCCACCTCCTCCTTTCTGCAAACGGGGCCCCACACCCCAGCAGCCCAGACTTGGGGCCTGGAATCTGCTACTCTGCAGACCAGTGCTGGGGCTTCACGCCTGCTCCCAGCTCCTCTCCATAAAAAGGGCATATCTCGGCCTGCCTGGTGGCGCAGCAGTTAAGTTCACACGTTCTGCTTCGGCGGCCCAGGGTTCGCCGGTTAGGATCCCGGGTGTGGACATGGCACCGCTTGGCACCCCATGCTGTGGTAGGCGTCCCACATATAAAGTAGAGGAAGAGGGGCACGGTGTTAGCTCAGGGCCAGACTTCCTCAGCAAAAAGAGGAGGATTGGTGGCAGATATTAGCTCAGGGCTAATCTTCCTCAAAAAAAAAAAAAGGCCATATCTGCACCTACGCCCCGGGGTGGGGACAGGGCCACCCGTGTTTCCCAGGCTCCCTAAGGCACAGACTCATGAAAATGATGCCAAAGTGGGCCCTGTCCTCTGGTATGAAAATGAGGTACCCCAATGTGTTTATTCACACTATCCCTAAGGGGTGGCCAGGGTCCCGCACCCACTCCATGTGGCCACAAGATCTCACACTGACCCCCCAGTGTGCACAGGACACCCACCCTGGGATGTCCACAGTCTGTCCAAGGCATGCAACTCCCATCCCTGTCCCCAGGGTGTCCAAAGCTGTCCCCATTTGTCCCTAGTGTCCACGGGCCTTCCTTCCAGCTCTGGAGCATCCACAGGAATCCCCACCTACCTCCACCATGTCCACAGGACCCCATGGCAGACCTCCAGTGTGTCCCCAGGACCCCATATCTGTCCTGGGATTTCTGTGCTCGCCCCCAACCACCCAAGGCAGCCACAGGGTCCCCTGCCCAGCCGTCCCAGTGCCCCACTCACTGCTGAGCCCGGTCTTGTTGAGGGCACTGCCCACACCCCACAGGGCAGCTGCTGCATAGAGAATCCAAGTGTGTTGCAGGACCCGAGGCTTGGGGGCCCAGAAGAAGAGGCTGAGAGTGAGCAGCAGGTGCAGTCCGGCCCCCGCCACCAGGGGTACCGAGCGCGGCAGCCACAGCCCCAGCAGGCCCAGGACAGAGGAGGCTGAGGCGCCCAGGCTGTAGGCTACGAGGAGGTACGCCAGGCGCTCCAGCCCCACGGAGCACACGCCATAGCCCTGTGGGACAGGAGGGAGCACTGGAGGTCAGCTGGTCCAGGCTCTGGCCCTCGCCACCTGTGGTCTCACTTTGGGCCACACCCTGCCCTCTCTGGGCCACCTCGGGGCTAACTCCCTCTGAGGCTGGCGGGCAGGTTCCTCGGGGACAATGGGAAAAAGCTTGGACAGTGTCCCCAGACACCAAGGTTGTACCCTGCATGGAACCAAATGCTTTACGGGCGTTATTCCACCACAACTGCAGAATGCCTATGAGAGTGAGCATTGTCACCGAACTCAACAGATGAGGAAACTGAGGCTCAGAGAGGTAAAGTAACTTGCCCAAGGTAGAGGGGCAAAAGAAGGAAGAGGGAGGGACTATTTGGGACACCCTTGTACATACGTATACATGTATTCCAAACTTAGTCGTTGTTTATCTGAAATCCAAATTTAACCAGACGTCCTCTATTTTTCCTGGCAGCCCTACACAGGCTGTACTTACAAGGGCGAGCCCAGTGCAGGCAAAGAGCACCTCGAAGCCGCTGTAGATAAAGAACGGCACGAGGTGGCGCAGGCGGAAGTCGCGCACGTGCTTGAAGGGCAGCTGGAAGATGTTGCCCCAGCCCACGCTGCGCAGGTCGATCTCCTCCGTGGGCCGGTACGCGGCGCCACACAGGCCCAGCACCTGCGGGGTGCACAGTGACGGGGCGGGCAGCCAGGCACAGGCCCCGCCCCCAAGCCTCAGCCCCGCCCCCAAGCCTCAGCCCCGCCCCTAAACCCAGCACGGACCTCCAAGCTCCGCCCCCAGCGCTAAGCCACGCCCTAGACACGCCCCCAACGCCTCAGTTCTGCCTCCCGGTACCCGCCCCACCCCGGGTTGGAGCCACACCTCCCGACTCTAGACCCCACTGTCGGCTCCCAGCCCCCTCACAGGTCACAGTCAATCCTCTGGGACCCTGTCTCCAGCTCGACCCGCACCAGGCCTGGTCGCCCTCTCCCTGGCTCTGGGATTCCAACTCCAGTCTCAGTCCACAAGCATCAGCCACGCCTCCGAGCCTCAAGCCCGGCTCCTAGGCTCAGACTCCCTCCCCAGGACTCAGCCCTGGCTCCCGGCTCAGACCACGCCTCCAGGCAGCCAGCCACGCGCCCAAACCGCGCCCCTTTCTCCCTGCCTCGGTCCCCAGAACCTGGCTGCCCCCACCCCGTCCCCGGCCGCACCAGCAGCATGGCCAGGAAGGCCATCGCCATGAGCACGCTTTCCACCACAATGAGGTTTCGGCTCCGCGGTAGCGTCCGCAGGACCGTCTTGTTGAAGCCGCTGAGGATGCCCTGGCTGTTGGTACCTGAGAAGGGGCGGGTGAGGGGCCTCGTGAGGCAAGGAATAGGACACACCGTCAACTCAGCCAGGAAGAAATGCAGCAGGGCGGGCTGGTGGAAGGGGAGGGTTAGAGGGGGCGGGCGAGGGCGCGCGTGCAAAGGCAGGGTTCCTTTGGGCAACAGTTTGAAGGTGAGGGCCACTGGGGCTCCTCCCCTCCACTTCCTGCGCTATGGCCCTGGGGGGCGTGGCGGCGCCAGTCCACTTCCTACCTCCATACACTCACCTGCACTGATTTGAACTCTGAGGGTGTCCTTGGCCCTGAGATTCCACAGGCAGCCTCAGCCCAGGTGGCACCACCCCCAGGCAGCCTTCCCTAAGGCACCCTGCCCCGCAACCCCAGCTGGGTCAGATGGCCTAACCACATACTCCTACAGGGCCCTGTGCCTTGCCCAGCAGAGCCGTAGACACCTGGGTCTCAGCCCTGAACGCTGTGAATGAGGGCATCCTCTCTGGGCTCAGTGTCTGCTGGGAGACTCCGTGGGCGATGTGAGCAGGCCTTGGGGACCCCACCCCCGTGAGAACTAACCGCAGCTGTGCACGTTGAACAGCGTGTGGTTCAGGTCATACAGGTAGTGGTTCAGGAAGTAGATCATGGGCAGCTGGGCGCAGGCAAAGCTCAGCTGTGGGCAGGAGGGCAGCATGGGCCAGGCTCAGGGCACGGAACCAGGCAGGGGGCCCAGGCATGACCTGGGAGGGGTCTGGGCACAGCCTCGTGGGGACAGGAGCCCTCTCACCTCTGGGGGCAGCCCGGTAGTAGTGGGGGAGTGCCCACTACAAGAGGACCTCCTCCCGGTCAGCACTGTGGACAGGGGTGGGACGAGGTCTCAATTGCCAGAGGTAAGCAAGTAGGGGTTGGCTCAAGAAAGGGCAGTGGGACTAGAGGGCTGAAAAGACTGTGGGATGGGCTCCAATGTGTGGGTTCTGGGCCTGGAACCCCCCCGCCCCGAGTGGCCCCATATGTGGCACTCACGTGGAAGAAGCTATAGAAGATGGCTTGGAAGACCAGGAGATAGGGCGCATGAGAGCCCCTTGGCGGCCGCTGCTGAGGACCCTGCTCATCCCGCTCCTTATAGTGGGAGTACTCGTAGTACTTCTGGGCCATCCTGGACCATAAAGGAGAAGGCTCTTCCCAGCCCGACCTCTGCCAGACGCCTGCACTTCCTGCACCCAGAGCTAGGGGCTGACCAGCCGGTGTCTCACAGATGGGGAAACTGAGGCCCAGAGGGGGGAGGGGCTGGCCCAAGGTCCCCCAGCCAAGGTTGGCAATGCAGGGGAGGCTCTGCCGGGCCTCCAGCCTCCCGCCCTGCTGCCACCAGGCTCACCTGGTGATGTAGTTGCCCATGGAGGCCCAAAGAGGCACGATGGCCATGCCCAGGGCCACAGCGGAGGGCACGAGCGTGTAGTAGCGCTCCCAGTAGTTGGTGGAGACAAAGAGGGCGTAGATGCCCACAGCCAGGAACATCATCCACTTGGTGCCAAAGAACCTGTGGGCAGTGAGAGGGCCGCTCGTACCATGGGCCTACCTGGACTGCCGCGGCCGGAAACCAGAGCAGCCACAAATCTAGGTCCCACAGATACGGACTTGCTGGTGGTCTCAGGCAAGCCACCGTGTCCATGCACCTCAGTTTTCACGGCTGTAATGTGGGCACAGAGCCCACACCAAGAGCCTCCTGTGGCCACCGCAAGGGTGGAAAGAGATAAAGCAGGGGAGCAGGTGTCACGAGTCAGTGGTCCACGGGCCCACCCAGTCCTCATTCATGTCCTGGGCTGACTCACCAACCCCCCTTCTCCACCGGAGCTTCTGTGCTTTGACTGCAGAGCCCAGGCACACACCCAAGGGACTGACCCAAGCCGGGTCATGGAAACCCAGGAGCAAAGAGAGAAAGAGAATGCCATGGCGGCCAGTGGCAGAGCCGGCAGCCTGGCGTCCCCTCCTCCCTGCAAGTTGCTCTTGCAGCTCACTGTGGTCAGTCTGGAAGTTTCCTCTTCACTGGCTCCTAGGACAACAGCCTTGCTGGCCATGGGAAAATATCACACGGTGTTCAAAGAGTGTTGATAAGCAACAGGACAAGGCCCATTGAGAGCACAGAGGCTGGTTAGGCTAAAAACCACTACTGAGATATCTGGGGTTTTTTTTTTGAGTATTTGTGCCCATGATCAGCTCCTTTTGGTTTCTAGGAAACTCAAAGTGAAATGACCCTGGTTTTCTGATACAATTACTTTCTCTACTCTTACAGGGCCCTGGTCCTTTTCTTCTCCTTATTTGCCACATAATAACCAGATAGGCAGCCCCCTCTCCTCTATTTGGGAGCAGGCACAAAAAAATGCACGGTACGTCTTGATGGAATAAAAGAGCAAAAAGTGAAAAATACTAGCACTCGTTGCTGGTGAGGCTGTGGTTTAAAAACTAACACACAAGGGCTGGCCCAGTGGCATAGTGGTTACGTTTTTGCACTCTGCTTGGGCCACCTGGGGTTCACAGGTTTGGATCCGGGCACAGACCTACACGCTGCTCATCAAGCCATGCTGAGACGGTGTCCCACATACAAAATAGAGGAAGGCTGACACAGATGTTAGCTCAGCAACAATCTTCCTCAAGCAAAAAGAGGAAGATTGGCAACAGATGTTAGCTCAGGATGAATCTTCCTCAGCAAAAATAAAAAACCCACAGCTCGTGGACATGCAGATTGACAGAGCATTTTGGAAAACCAGCCTGGTAGTTTGAGGAGGGGTTTAGCATGGCAGTTTGGAGTCACTCCGCCTGAGTTCAAACCTTCAGTCGGCCTGGTGCTGCCTGTGGGCCTTGGCCAGCTGTTTAAGCTCCTGGTTTCTCCGTGTCTAAGATTAGAGCCCCTGCAGTGGGGTGTAAGGAACCAGGTAACAAAGTGCCCAGCACACAGGAAAGACAATAAGAGTTAGCTGTTGTTATTAACAATGATAGGTTGCAAGAGCCATAAAGCCTTTATATGCCTCTGACCTAGTAAGGGCAGTGCTGAGAATATCCTAGGAAATATTTTTTTTCCTAAGAAGGAGACAGCTATAAGCACAAAGTAAACACGCAAAAAAGGAGAGGGGGCCACCATGTCCAACTCTGAGACACAGTTGGACGTCCCCATCTCTGCAGAAGATGCTCCCATCACAAAATTCTCACTGTGAAGACCGGAGTGGGCCAAGATGTGTGCAGTGAAAAGAAAGCAAAAGAGACCATTATGCGCATGTGTGTGCACACAGTGGTGACAGGGACGTAAATGTCATCCATGCCTATCGGTCGGAGAATGATGCTAGCCAATTTACTGGAAGGCTTGGGGGCGCTTTCCTTTTTTCTGATTTCAATTATGATTCTAATGCTCTTCATGCAGTTGTAATAAAGGAGTTTTGGTTTTCTTAAAAACGGGGGAACTGAAACCCATCCAATTTGTCCACTGATCTCAGGGTCCCATCTGAGCACAGACCTGTGGCCTGGTGGGAGGGTGCTTGTGGAGGGAATTTTTGTCTCGTGTGGGAGGCTGGACCAGATGCCTCCAAGGCTCAGGTCCAGAGTGGACCCCCTGGGGCACCTGCCCAGCCATGGCTTTTTCAGTGAGAAATGTCCCTCAGCAGCAGCCACAGCTGACTGAGCAGGAGTGGGCACCTGGGCCTTGCTGGCTGATCAGATTCTCTCCAGAAACATCACAGCCCTGACCCCAGCAGGGTACTGTGGCTCCAGGCCACCAAGGAGGGCATGAGGGTAATGCCACATGGGGCACGGGCAAGCTGAGGGAAGGAGCCTGAGTGAATTCATGTTACTTGAAACCCCATGTGCTCTGGGGCAAAGCTCTTGATTCCTTCCCCAAACCCAGGTTTCACCCTCTACCCGGCACCCCCCCTCCCTCCACCCCCGCCCCCCGGGGCAGGGCCTCTCCCTACCTCCCTGTCTCCCAGGAACACGGGGGCAGCTAAAGGCCCCATGGTCTAACAGCTTTTGTACCCCTTCAAGATCAGGCAGACAGCCCAGCCCTTATGGGGACGGCAGCGTCGCACCTGATGAGCACAGGTGTGTAGAGTAGGGCCGCGATAGGGGTCACGTTGATGCCTATCAGCATCTTGCTGTCGATGTCAGGCAGCCCCATGTTTCCGTACTTCACCTCGCGGTAGGTCTCATCATAGTGCAGAATCAGCTGCATCTGCAGGAGGCCTGGGGACAAGGGGCAGGCATGGAGGGGGCGGCCTGGCTGGGGGGTCGGGGGGAATGAGCAGAGGCTGGAGGGCAAGCCTCAAAGGGAGCTCCAGTCACCAAAGGGATCCCCGATTCCAACGCTCACAAGGACAGAGAGGGAAGCCTGGGCTGGGCCAAGCGCCCTGCCAACGGTGGCAGCGTCGGCGACTGGAGTCCAGACCCCCCACTGTCTGGCTCCGCCGGGCTCTTGGACCCCAGCGCTCCGGATTCTCAGGGCAGCAGACCCGCCTAGGGCGCCCTGTCCACACACGCACGAAGACTCTGGCGGGGACATGGGGACTCTGCCAGTTTGACCCCCTGCGTGGGGTGGGGGGGGGGGGGCGGGGCGCAGCTGCAGCTGCGAGGGCAGCAGACTGGGAAGTGAAAGAGGAAGCGAGGCCGACGGCCCCGGAGGTTTCTCTTTCCCTGACCATGTCTGGGAGGGGAGGCGGGCGGGGTAAGGCAGCCTCGGGCGCAAGCGCCAGGGCCAGGCGGGCCGTGCTCCCGCGCCGGGCCGGGGGTGCAGACAGACCCCTGCCCCCTCCTCCCCCCCTCCTCCCCCTACTCCTCCTCCTTCCCCTCCTCCCCCTACTCCTCCTCCTCCTCCCTCCTCTCTCCTTCCCCCTCACCTCCTCCCCGCACTCCCCTCCGCGCGCGCGCCCGTACCCAGGTAGACGCCGTAGGTGAGCGTGCCGCCCGTGCTGGCGGCCAGCACGTTGGTGAGGACGCCCAGGCGCTTGCGGCGGTAGTAGCGCCGCTCCTCCTCCTCCTCGTTGTAGTTGGGGTAGGCGCCCACCAGCTCGTCCAGCTGCGGGGCATGCACGGCGCTCGGACCCGGCCCGGCGTCCCGGGCCCCGCACCCACCCCGGCCCGCCCCGAGAGCCCGGCCCGCCCGGGGCCCACGCCCCCGCTCCGTCTCCGTCCCCGCTCACCGGGGCCGCGGGCCCATCGGGGACCCCGAGCCTGTCCTCATCGCCCTGCGCCCCCGCGCCGCCCGCCACCGGGTAGAGCGGCGGCTCCGCCTCCATGGCCCGACCCGCCGGAGCACTGGCGCGGCCCGGGCGTCCCTGCAGCGGGGCGGCACTTCCTCCGGGTCGGACCTGCCCCCGCCCCGCCCCGGACCGCCTCCTCCGGGAGGGACAGCCCCGGCGCTGGGGTAGGTGTGGGTGTGCGTAGGGGAGCTCCCGTGTGTCCGTGAGCGGCCAGGACTCGGCCTCGGGGATGCGAGATGCGAGTTCCAATCCCCGCTCAGCCTGGCTTTGTGACTTTGGGGATGAACTCCACTTCTCTGTGCCTCAGTTTCCTCCCCTGTAAACCCGGATACTCAGCACTGCTTCCTAGGGCTGTTGCAACGTTACTGGGTTAATGCGAAGTCTTAGGCAAGTGCCAGGCCCGTCACCAGCTCCCCTCAGTGTTACCGCTGCTGTCATCCCGAGCCCCACCTCCGGGCCCCACTTGGTGTGTCTGCGGGGCCAGCAAAGAGCCCCGACGGCAGCGCCACCGAGGCTCCCCCCGCAGGACGCGGCTGCCCGCGCCTGCCTCCCGTGCACCCTCCAGCTTCCGTTTTGGCATCTGCACGTGGCAGCTCCAGCAGCACCCGCGGGAGGCCGAGATTTTGGGGGCCTCTGGACGACAGGGGGGCGACCCCACCACCACCCCGCAGCAGGGTCAGAGCCTCCTGCACCTGCCCGCCTGGGCACTGGGTCCACGGCTGCGGCTGGAGCCTGCTACCGACCCCGAACGTAAGTTCATTGACCCGCCGCGTAGTAGGGCCAATAAAGAAAAAACTGAAGCGCCAGGCTTGTGGCGAGGAAAGAGGTTTACTGCATTATCAAACTTAACCGCTGCCCACTGGGCTGACCCCTTATCTAGGGAAGGTTTCTTAACCTCTTCGTGCTCGGTTTCGAGCCCTCCAAGTTTCTGCCTTGCCCGAGCCCGCGCCCGGTGGCACTGGCTGTCGTCCTGGTTAGAAACGCCTGGGAAGCTTTTAAAAATAGCCAGTTCCCAGGGTAGTCTCTTCAACAAATGGTGTTGGGGAAACAGGCTAACCACAGGCCGAAAATGAAAGTGGACCTCTGGTCTTACTCGGCTCACAAAAACTAACTGGAAATGGATCAAAGACTTAAACCTGAGACCTGATACCATAAAACTCCCAGAAGAGAAAGGAGGAAGCTCCTCACCGTGGGTCTTGGCCATGATTTTTTGGATATGACACCAAAAGCACAAACAACAAAAGAAAAAAATCAACAAAGGGGGCCTACATCAAAGCTGAAACCTTCTGTACTGCGAAAGAGACAAAAAGACAACCCAGAGGAGAGAATGGGAGAGAGTGTTTGCAAACCATGTATCGGATAAGGAGTCAATATCCAAAATTTATTTAAAAATCATACAACTGAATAACAAAAACACAGACAATCCAAATGAAAAATGGGCAGGGGACTACATACGGTGGTCCCTCCTTACCTGCAGGGGATACATGCCAAGACGCCCAGTGGATGCCTGAAACCACGGATAGCACCAAACCCCACATATACTGTGTTTTTTCCTATACGTACACACCCATGACAAGGTTTAGTTTATAGATTAGGCACAGTGAGAGATGAACAACATGACTCATAATGAAATAGAACAATTGTAACAATATACTGTAATAAAAGTTACTGTAGGTCTTAGCAACCTCAGCATAAGATTTCCTTTCTTTCCTTTTTAAGTCGAGAACTTTTACTTTTTCTCTTAAAGGAAGTACTTCACGGCTTCTCTTTGGCGTATCTGGATTGCCAGCATCACTGCTCTTGCGCTTTGGGGCCGTCATTAAGTGAAATAAGAGTGACTTGAACATAAGCACTGCAATACACTGACAGTCAGCTGATAATGGCTACTGAGCAACAAACAGGCAGTTAGTGGATGCAGCGTGGCCATGCTGAACAAAAGATGAGTCACCTTCCAGGCAGGACGAGCGGACACCGCAAGATTCCATCCCTGCTCCTCAGCATGACCCATAACTTAAAACTTGTGAATGGTCTACTTCTGGAATTTTCCATTAAATATTTTCTGACTGCAATTGACCTCAGGTAACTGAAACTACAAAAAGCAAAGCCACAGATAAGGAGGGCCTACTGTAGACATTTTTTCCAGAGAAGACATCCCAATGGCCAACAGGTACATGAAAAGGCACTCAACATCACTCATCATCAGGGCAATGCAGGTCAAAACCACAAGGAGATATCACCCCATGCCTGTTAGGATGGCCGTCATCAAGAAGACAAGAGCTAAGTGTTGACAAGGACGTAAAGAAGAGGGAGCCCTCATGCTCTATTGGTGGGATTGTAAACAGGTCCAGCCACTAAGGAGAACAGGATGGAGGTTCCTCAAAAAATTAAAAATAGAACTACCATATGATCCAGCAACTCCACTTCTGGGTATACACTCAAAGGAAATGAAAACAGGATATCAAAAAGAGGTGTGCACTCCCACGTCTATCACAGCATTATTGACAATAGCCAAGATATGGAAACAACCTAAGTGTCTGTTAATGATGAGTGTGTAAAGAAGTTGGGGGACATATATACAACGAGAACACCACTGAGCTATGGGGAAAAAAGAAATCTTGCCGTTTGTGACAACGCCGATGGACCCTGAGGACGTTATGCTGAGTGAGATAAGTCAGACAGAGAAAGACAAATACTGTAGGATATCCCTTATATGTGGAATCTAAAAAAAAAAAACAACCCAAACTTGAAAAAGCAGAATGGCGTGGTGGTTACCAGGGGCTGGGGAGGGAGGGGAAACTTCGTTTAGGGGTACATGCCTGTAACTAGAAGATAAGAAGTCCTGGGGTCTAATACATGGTACAGGGAGTATAGACCACGAAACTGTACTATAAACGTGAAACTTGCTAAGAGACCAGATCTCAATCGTTCCCACCACTAGAAGAAGTGATAACGATGTGACAATTTAGAAGAATCAGCTAATGCCACGATAGCAATCATATTGCAATAGAAATGTACCCAGTCAATGGGTTGTACACCTTAAATGTACGCAATGTTGTAGGTCAATTATATCTCTAGCCGGGCCCCCTCGCCCCCCAACTTTGCCCATTCTGTTCCTTCTGGTTGACATGTCCTTCCTCCTGCTTGCCCCAGGAGGTGTCCTTCCTGCCCTCTGCTCTCAGATAAGAAGCCATCCTTCAACTACTTCCCTTCTGGTTTTCTGTAGTTTAATTGTCTGTCCCCTCGGGTGATGGCTCACTGTGTACCCCTCATGCAGGGGATTGTGTCGGGCACTTAGTTGGTGCCCAATAAATGTGAGTGGATGGATGGACGAGTGAACGGATGACGATATCCACCCCAGAAGCATTGCCAGGAAAGTGGAGAGCTGGGGGCATGGAGGGCATCAATTTGTAGAGCTTCAGCCTGTGAGGCAGTGGAACTTTCTCCAGACCACAGCCAGGTGCAGACATGGGTAAAGCAGACTGGTGGAGTCGTGCTGGCAATACCTAGAAGTGGGAGCTATGGAAGGAGTGAGAGAGAGGACAGGGCCCGAGGTCCAGGGGCAAGGTGGAGGCGGGAGAGCAGGGAAGCAGTGGGAGCTGAGAGGCCAGGCGGCCATGAAGCCGTGGGCAGAAAGTGGATGCCAGGGTCCTTTACCTTGGGTGATGACAAAGTCTGGGGTGTGGCGGCAGGGAATGGGAGGCAGGGGGACCAGAGGCTCTGCAGAGAGTGACGAGGACAACAAGAATGAGCCCCTGCCCCTCCCAGCAGTGCTCCCCCTAAAACCGATTGGAAAGGGGGCCCTTGGGCCTGGCGGCGGCGGCTAACATCTATGGTCTGTAAAACACCCCCATCTGCCCTCGTCTCCGCCTGAGGCCATTGAGGAAAGAAAGAACTTGGCCAAGTGCTCCTCCCACCAGAACTCAGGACGAGCCAGCGAGGAAAAGGTCAGGGAAGGGCTCTCTCGCCACGGAGCGCGGTCCCCAGGGCGCCCTCCCGGCCAGGTGCCCGGGCTTCTCAGGGCATTCGTGTGGGAAGCCCCTCACCTCACCTTGCACACATCCCACCATCTCCTCAGAGAGAGAGAGAGAGAGAGGAGGTGCCCTAGGCTCTCACGGAGACACAGGACAGGGGAGACCTTGTTGTCACTGCATCGGAAAGAGGGCGGCCCTACAAAAGTCTTCAAAAGGGAGAGAGGGGAGATGGAAGATAGGGTGACCTCCGAAGGGCCGGGAAGCTCTGAGATGCAGCGTCTTGAAGCTGCAGCCGGGAGAGCCCACAACCCAGCTGGGTAGGGGTGGGGGGTGGAGGTGGGACGGTGGGGAGGGGACACCGGCCACACACCACTGGGCAAGGCAGGGAGAGAAACTCGCAGACTCAGTGGGTGCGTTTCAAGGTGCCCAGGTGTTGCCCCACCCTGAGGGGTGTTCATTGTCCAAGGATGGGTAAAGCCCTCCAGGGTGGGCCTGTCCGCTTGGGGGAGAAGGGACAAGGCTTGCGGAACAGCGGATGTCTTGGGTGGACCCAGAACTCATTGGTTTTATATCTCCCACCAGAAGGGACCACCAAGACGAAATCAAGCGGGAGTGTATTTTAAGAAACAGAAAGCGAAGAGAAGGTGGGAGAAGAGCAGGAACATTGTTCCACTTTGCTACCAAAACCGAAGTGGGTTCCCTCCTGGCAACTTAACTCAGACTTTTCGGCAGAAGTAGGCATCTCACAAAGGAAAGTATACTTGTGGCAAATAGGAGACCACGAGAAATCATTTCCAGAGTCACGGTGTCCTCGAGCAAAGGGAAGCAGGGACATTCATTTGGGATGGGGAATAAGGCAGAGGTCACAGGCGTAGCTCTCGTGGTGAGGCTTGGTCTGGTTTAGCGAGGTTGGTGATGACATCTCCTTAACGTAACAAAAGGAAAGAACAATTTGGAAAAAGTTAAAATATCCGAACCCACCCTTGAGTTCCTTGGGGTAACTAATCCGTGACATTTACTCTACCGTTTAGGATCAGAATTCTTTAATTTCGAGTCCTTGTTACACGCGGACGCCTCCTGTGGTCTGTTGGTTACTTTTAATTGTAAATTGCTTTATTAAAATCGATTCATTTCAGAACATTTTGGGGGGAGGGGGTGGTCCTGGCAGCTTGTTTCAAAACCTGACCTGTGGCACCCAGTGGTTCACGATGCTGTTGTAACCTTATTCAAAGCAGAAGAAAAACATGTTTACATCTAAATGACAAAAAAAAAAAAAATGGATTTATTTTCTTAAAACGCCCACTCGAAAAATACAAATACGACTGTCCCTGGATGAGTCAGGAGTAATTTCCGTCTCATTAGTGTTCCCACACAGTGACAGCTGACGAATTTGGGAAGTGGTGCTTTCAGCCCCGGGGCTCCTGAAATCTGCTGGTGCTCAGTGACTCTGTCAATTAGCAAGAAGAAACATCCCCGGCTCAGTCCAGATGAGGGGTTTGAATGTGGCTGGCAAACTGCTCAAATTCTTGAGTGACAGGCTCCCTGATTAGATTTGGCCAATGGAAGGTGCTGAGGGGAAGGCTGGGGCGGGAGAAGGACAGAAGCCAGGGTCTTGCTCCCTAGGGAGGCCTGTGGCGGTGGCTTGGCTCCTCCATTGTCCCAGCACCCACAGAGTGGCCCACGGTGGTCTAGCTTTCCCTGGGTAACCCTTGTCCTCTGGGGTTGATGACATCACTTCCTCCCTTGGACTCTCCAGCCCCGGGACTGCCTGTGACGTCGGCATGGGGGACCCAGACAAACACAGCCAGTGTGCCCTGCAGAGCAGAGAACAGAGCAAGGCCAGCCCGTCCCTCCCACCGCATCCGGGCTCCAAGCCCACCCCGTCACCGGAATGAGTGACCGAATCCCCCCTCACTGTTTTCATATGATGTTCTCTATGATTGGTTTTATTTTTTGTTCTCATTATGAAAATAATATATGTTCCCTGCAGAAAGCAAACAGGAAGGATAAAAATTGTTCCCAACTCCAACACCTTGAAATGGCACCTGGGGTCTTGTGAAGCACATTACCCTGCAGAACAGGAGGGACAGGCCCCCTGCTCCTTCACCCAGCACCACTTCCCTGGCCTTGAGGCGAATCTTCACCACTTTTTTTTAACTAAAAACCATGGGGAGGATGATCCTCACAGGCTGTTGCGAGGTCTCCGCGCTGAGATGTGCCAAGGAGACTGCCCAGTGGCTGGCAGAGCAAATGTCCGGGAAACAGTGGCTGCTGCTTTTGATACTGGCTCAACACAAGGTTGACATAAGGGAAGCCATAGCGTAGCAAAGAAACCATACTGGAACTTTGAATGATTAACTAACCCAGACACGCTCTGTGGATTTTATGGCCCCTCCCAGCTGCTATAAGTTGATAACTTTGTTCTTCTGAGTTCCTTAGGAATGTGATGGCCCCCAGGCAGAGAGTCTGTGCTGATGGCCATCATCATGGTAACTGAAAGATCAGGGTACCTGCCATTGCTCCGGTCTCTGATGCGTATCCAGTAAAACAAAAGCCTGTCAGGAACTGAGACCAGATGTCTGCCCCCACCTGGAGCTCAGATGGAGGTCCCAGTGGGATTAGGTCTGTTTTTCAGGGACTGTGAAAATTTGGTTGTCCATACTTCTTATCCTTCTGGTTGGACACTTGTTTATCAAATGTGCTTTTTAGATGTTTTAGATGTGGAGCAAGATACAAAATTCTAAATGTCAGCATGAAGCTGGGAGCAAGAGAATATTTCCAAATGAGCGCTAAACAGTTTCATTCCTCAAACCCAGATCTAGGCCCCAATTCAGCAGGATGTAGCTAGATTGGTCGTCACCTTGAATCCCTCAAGAATGAGGAATGACCAAAGAAAAGGAGGGATTGAAATTGGCAGAGAGTTAGCCATTGATGATTAAGGAGCTAGGAACTGAAGATTTTTCCTTTTTTGAAATTACTGATTGTAGCTTTTAGCTGTTTAACCTGCCCATTGTTAACTGTGCTGTCAGGCAATATGCTGTCTGATTCCACTAGGCTCCTATAGAGACCAGCTCCCTGGAGCCTGGGTCACCATGGTAATGAGTGTGTGAGCTGTTCTTCACGAATTAGATCCCCTTTATTCACTCTGGCTGAGACCACCAACCCATCAACTGGGCTGCACAGATGTCCCATAGGCGACCTTTTGACATCAAGAGGCTAAAAACTCCACCGTCGGATCATGCTGGTGCCACCATTTTGTGAACGTGGGTCCTGTGAAGAGGCATGAAGTCTGACTACGCTTGGGCAGACCATCAGTGACCTCACCTCTCCTCACCTCCAATCACCTCTCTTCACATTCCAGACCACCTTGCCCCCATCCCATAAATATCCTGAGTCCCTGTTTTTGGGGAAGCGAATTTGAGGCTCATGCTCTCGCTTCCTCTCATGGCTGCCTTGTGAGTAAACACCTTCTCTGCTGCAATCTCGTCGTCTCGAGGTTTGCCTTTCTGGGTGGCGGGCAAAAATGAACCTGGCACAGTAACACTTTCAGCCGAGACACGAGGCTCCCGGGAGTGGGGGCGACCCCTGCCCGGCTCCTAAGCAAGGGCTCAGCGCACCCTGGAAGTGCTGTGGGCTTGGGAGTCAGACCTGGCTGGCCGAGAATCCCTATCCTGTCCCTCTCCTGTGTGATCCTGGTCCAGTCACTGCACCTCTCTGAGCCCATTGTCTCATCTGTAAAGCTCAGACCATCAAGTCCAGGAAGTGTATGAGAATTTAATCAACAGCCCTTAGCACACAACAGATGCTCAGTAAAGGCGTGCTGAGTGAGCCAATGAATGAGTGCCGACTGGATCCTCACCCCGGAGGCCTCTAACTTTGCGCTTGGGATGGGTCACACTGCTCTCTGAGGGGATGCTGCTGGTGGAGCCAGGATGGCCCCATCTTCAAGGCAGGGAGGTGGAGGGAAGGCCTACACACCTACTGAGTATCTGCTGTCTACCAGTTGCTTTCCACGTGGGCTGGTCTGTCCCCCTCACAGCATCCCTCTGAGGCAGGTGGAATCAAGCCCATCTTACGGAGGGGGAAACCAAGGCCCAGAGAGGGGCAGGGACCTTCTCCAGGTCATTTAGCAGGGGGGCTGAGGAGCCTGGTTGGAATCTGTGTCAGCAGGCAAGGCGGTGAGTTGCTCTCGGGCAGGTCTGAGGCCGTGTGAGCCAGGCTCGCCAGGAGTCTGAGTGAGGGAATGAATGAATGAATGAATGAGTGAGTGAGTCCACCTGATGCCATAGCTCATGACCAGCCCACCCTCCCCCACCTCTCTGCCCTGGAGAGGGAGGCCAGGGATGAAAATGCTGAGGACCTTTTCCTCCAATCCTGCAAACTAGAACCCAGAAGAGCTGCCGCAGGGCAGGGCCTGGCCCAAGGCAAGTGCCGGGGGGCGGGGGGCAGGAGGGGGAGGGTCTCTGCGCCCCTGCTCTAACCCCTGTGCTCCCCCCCACCTTGCTGACCCGGGTTCTCGGCAGCGCTTGCCGCCCACCAGAGCTGGCCCTAAGGGTGCCTCCTGGTGGTTTCCCACGCAGACATCTTCCCATTGATCCTGAGTTTTCCAGGACAAGGATGTAACCCCCCAGGCCCCACTGAGACCTTGGAAGTTTGAGGATCAACAGAGGCATCCAACCCAGAGAGGGCAGAGGGCAGGCCCCTGTTCCTCCCCAAGGGGCAGTGCGCCCTCAGACTGAGGGCACTTCACTGCCAGGCCGGGTTAGGACCCATGTGCCAGGCAGTCAGGCCTCTTTGGGGACCTCCCAGGTCATTCCTGAATTCAAGACAAGTTCAGGGATCGACCCTGCAGGGGGGTCCCTGGCCAGAGAGGAGCTGCTCAGGATCCTGCAACACCCTTTCCACCTACCAGTACCTCCCCAGGTGGGCCCCTGATTTGCTGTGTGGCCTTAGACCAGTGGCTACCCCTCTCTGGGCTCGGTTCCTGGCTGAGGGCTTACCAGGCTCAGCCCTAGCCCAGCCCCTCCTGGCGCCGTCTCTGCCTCTGCCTGGCTCAGCTCCAGACAGCAGGGCAGGGCTGTCACATGCCGAGCCACGTGACAGGCAGCGGCTGGGGGCTCCATCCCACGCAGAGGACGGGCCCTCTGTAGTCCCTTACCCCTTCCCAACTGGCTGAAGCCTCCAGGGGCTACCAGAGCAGGTGGGGGCCAGGGGACCGCGCCTGCCCTCCCAGGTAGGCAAGGGGAGCGAGGCGGGCGGGGGCGATGAGGAGCATCTCCCGGGTGCCAGGTCGGCCCAGAGGCCTCAGGCCAGGATCCCAGGCAGACCCGGGGCACCGAGGCGGAGCGGCCGTGGCGGGCCCAGGGCGGCAGACACGGGGCGATGACACACAGGATGCTCCTGCCCCCACACCTGTAACCTAATTACCTGCCTGTCTGACAGCAGCCGCTGCTCCGGAATCATCCCCCTTTGTGCGGCTCCAACAGGTGTGCTGGGTAGGGACCAGGGTCAGGCGGAGGACAGGGCCCCTGGCACAGCTCAGTCACCTGAGGAGTGGGACCACAGGAGCCACCATGGTGACGCTTACCATCACGATGGCTGTCCTAGAAGGCGGAGGGTGGCACTCTTCCCCAGGAGGTGGGAGGGGACATCTGGGGATGGACACAGACCCCACTCCAAGTGACAAGCCTTGTGTGGTCAAGCCCTGTCCTCTCTCTGGGTCTTTATTGTGAAATGTCAGGCTGCAGGGGGACAGGCTCTGTGAGTGGGGTGCCAGATGTGGTGGGATTGATGGACACACTCACGCGGAGGGCAAGGAAACTCAGGGGGCACGGAGTCAGCCTCAAGGATGTGTTTCCAGACTCCAGCCATCTTTGGATCTGACCTTGTCATTTTGAAGCTGGGAAACAGGCTCAGAGGGGCTGGGGGATGGAGTGGGGAGCAGGGCTTTCCTTGCTATTCCAGGCCACTGGGCCCCACCCCACACCGTAATTCCCAGGGCCACTGCCCTGGCCTCCCGTCCTCCTCCAGCTGGGCCTGGGTCCCCTCCAGGCCTCGGGCCGGAGACCTGCTGTGTGGCCCTGGCCTGTTGCTGGCCCTCTCTGGCCCCAGCTCCTGGTCTGTAGTCCAGGAGAGGACCTGGAGGCCCCTGAGGGAGGTGATGGTGAAATCTCGGCCTGCAGCCTCCAGCCGTCCCAGAGCTGTGGTCAGGCACGAGGCCAGAGCAGCCCCGCCCCGGGGCAGGCCCAGCCCTGGATGTTTCATAAGGCAGAACAGCGGGCAGACTGGGAACCGCCAGGAGGAAGGGCAGCTTGGCAGGACATCAGGTACAGTGTCCCAGGGAGGCTGGGCACGGAGCTGTGAGCGCTCAGGGCCCCGGGCCCTTGCTAGCAGGCTGGCTCAGGGATTCTGGGTTGCTGGCCGCTCACAGCCACATGCATAGACTGGCTTTCTCTTCCGCCTGCCTGGGGAGAAAGGGGAAGGAAGGAGGGACTTCCCTTTGCCCCGACCTACAAGAGCAGGAGAAGGAGGGGCTGAGGAGAGGCCTGGGGGTCCCTGAGGCCAGCAGGGACACTCGTTTGTCCCTGGGTTACTGCTCATCTTTAAGGGGGCCAAGGGCCCCAGCCCTGGACCCGGCTGCCCGAGGAGAGAATGTACCTCCATCCCTGGGGGCAGGCGGGTGTCAAGCATCCGTTTGGTAACACATAGCTCCTGGGCCCCACCATGCTTGGTGCCCACGCCGGGTGCCCAGGAACCGGTGCTGGGGAGGCACACGCAGCGAGCGTTCTGGGGAACGGACCCTGCTGGGGTCCAGGAAGGAGGAACCAGCCAGACCTGCTCTGCCCCTTGGAAGGACTGATCAGAGGGGCTTTGCTGGCCTCAGGGAGCTGGCAGCACAGCCTCTCAGTGGGCTGGGGCTGGGGTGGGCTCATCTCACAGGCAGGAGTTGGTTCTCAGCTCCTCATGGCCCCCGTGGGAGGGAGCCCCATTCCCGGGGCTTCAGGAGACCTGGTGCAAATCCAAGTTATGGCTACCCAAGGGGGATCAGATTGGAGACCCTGGGGGTGGGGACCTGTAGGGCCTTCGAGGAGGGTCCCATGCCCACCGCCCTCTGGCAGCCTGATGGGAGGCCCCAAGGCCTCAGACCACCGTATTTACCTCTCACCTTCACCGGCTCTGCGTCCCTGCCCCAACCTGGGTCTCAGGTTAGCGTCCTTGGCTCCCTGGTATCCATGTGGGCCAAGGGCTCTCCCTCCTGGAGAAGCTATCCTTCTATCCATCTGAATGAGGAGCATTTAGAGCCACGGTCACTGGGCACTCACGGGGCTCGGCCCTGCACCGAGCACTTTCCGCTTGAATTCTCCTGACAGCACTGTGGGGAGCTACAAGTACCGTCCCATTTCGCAGGTGGCACAGTGAGCCATGGAGAGGCCCAGGAGCCTGCCCGAGCGCTCCCAGCTAATAAAGGGCATTGCCGGGATTCAAACGCAGGTCATTGGGCCCCTGACACGTCAGACTGGGAGGGTGCTGTTGGAAGGCTTGTGGTATAGGTGGGGAAACTGAGGCAGAAAGAACGAGTGACTCGGCGGAGGTTGGGGGTGGGAGAGAGCAGGGGCCTGCACCACTGGATAGCTCATTGGCAGGACCGGCCGGGGGCGCAGACTGGCAGTCAGCCGCCGTGGATTCTTGATGATGCTTTCCAGCCAGCAGACCTGAGTGCCCACCCCGTCTGTCCCCCTCCTCGACTCCACGCGGCCCCTCCCTGGGCCTCAGCTGCCTTCGGGGGCACCGTGCTGAAACCCACGCTGGCACAGCGCCTGGCACAGTCCGCGCCTGGTTACTACTATTATTAGAGAAATCCCTTCAGGGGACGTGGCTGGTCCTCCCCGGCCCCCAGGACAGGGGAAACAGGCCCATCGCTTGTCACCATTAAGTGATTTAGAACTCCTGCCCTGCTGTCACTCTGAACAGACACAGCTGAGCAGGTGGTTGAAGCTGGGGCTGCCTCAGCCCGCTGTGAAGATCCGTGTCCCCTGAGCCCCTGTGCCCACCAGCCCCTGGGACCACAGGGCCCACCCCGAGGAGGCAAGAAGGGGAGGTGGGTGGGAATTGTCAGGAATAGCGCAAACAGCACCACTCTCACCCTGGCTGGGCGACCGCTGACCTCAGCCACACACTCTGCCTGCTTGGGTCTGCAGTCCAGGCTGGCCCAGAGGGGTCCCTTCTCCTGAGGACTCGGCCGCCCCTCTCCCCAGGGTCGGGCTGCCCTGCTCACAGGCCCAGGGTCCCCCCAGCTTCGCTCCTCTGCATGCCTGGATTGTGCCGAGCTCCCTGTCCCCCAACAGGCACCCCTCAAGGCCTCGGTCCAGAGTGACCAAACTGCAGGGGGCAATATTGGGTGAGTTGGCCTCTGTTGCCAGGAGATGGTGCTGGAATGTTCCATCTAGACCTCCACCCGCCCCCACAGAGCTGCCCCCTCAACCCTGCCCAGAGTTGCACCATTCCCCTTCCATGCCATGCATTTTTGTGGGTTCTGCAGAGGCTGTTATGAAAGGGCAAAGAAGCCTGGGTGGGGAGGCGGGAGGTGCGAGCACGGGTCACCATGGCATCCACGGGCAGAAGCCTGCAGGTAAGCGCAGGGCAGAGAAAGGACTGGGAGAGGGAGGCGGGAAGGAAACATCAGTTGAGGACTTAGTACAAGTCACCCTAGCTGACCCTTGTCGAGTGCTTACTGTGTACACAACAGCCAATGCTCTCTGCGGCATGATGTGGCTTAATCCTCAGAACCACGCAGGTGCTTTTACCGTCCCCACTTCACAGACAAGGAATCAGGCAGAGAGAAGATGAGTGACTTGCCGAAGGTCACATGGCCATGAGAGGCAGAGCCGGAGGACGAACCCAGATGGTGGCTCTAGAGGCAGGCAGGACTCTGGGCTCCTGGGCCTTGGCACCGGCCAGCGCGCCCTCCTCCAAGAAGGAGGGTGTGGGGGGAGTGTGGGGCTGAGAGGCACTCTGACAACGTCCCCCTTCTGCTACACTGCCACCCTCTCTGGGAGGCCCGGTGCCTAGCCTGTGCCTGACCGGAGCAGGATGTCTGTGGGGTCAGCTTGGCCCCCAGCCACGCCTAGGGGGACGGTCTGGGGCTCCAGCCAGGTTCTCGGCCCACAGTGCCCGTCGGGCCAGGCCTTCCTGTTGGCTGGAGCAGGCTCGGCCCTCAGGGCCATGGAGCCCCCTGGAAAACTGAGGGCCAGAGTGACAGGGGCCACCTAACAACAACAGCTGGCAGCCTTGGGGCACAATGCCCTGCCCTGGGCTCAGGACCGGATGGCGAGGTCTCTTCCTTGGTAAACAGCGTGTCAGCTGGTGGTAGCTATCACCATCCCCAAACAGACCAGGAGACTGGGACACGAAGGCCCAAATGATGAATTCAGTAGGCAAAGAGGAGCCTGCACCCTGGTCCAGTGGGAGGGAGGAGTGGGGGATAAAGACGGCCAGGGAGGTGGACAGGATGACGCCAGGTATTTATCATGCCGCGGTATGACCCAGTGTGGTGAGGAGCAGAGCCGAGGGGCCACTGTGAGAGTGTGTGAGGGAGTAATCAGAGCGAACTGCCTGGAGGAGGTGTCGGCCAAGCTGAGACCTGAAGGGAAGGGAGTCATAGAGGATGGGAGGAAAGGGTTCCCACGGGTCCTTGGCACCAGGCCGAGGAGCAAGTACGATGGAGACCTCCTCTGATGAGCTTCAAGTAAACAGAGGAGGGCCCGGAGGAATGTGAGCCCCACCCTGCCTGATGACAGCATAAAGCATGACTGCCCCTCACCCCTCGCCCCTCCTCCAATGCTGTGGCCAGGACTGGGGTGGGCAGCAGGGCCCCTGGGAGGCCCCGGGTCTTCTTTCCCCATCTTGCTGGGAGCTGGGGCACAAGGAGAAGAGTCCACTGCCTGTGGTCCCCCAGCCCCCCGAGCCACCGCCAGCCAGCCTGGCCTCCCTGAGCAGCGCCGCCAGGCTGGGGGTGGGGGGACAGACCACCCTGTGTCCGGAATGTCCCAAAGTGGTGACTGCAGTGGCAGTTGGTGGACTGGCCTTCTACTTATCAAATTCTTCCTGGTTACGCCACTCCGGCCTGGCGGGGTAGGGGGTGCCCCCTCTCCTGGAGGGGCACCAGAGTGGGGTGGGGGCCGTGGCTGCGGGCTGATTTCTGGGTGGCGGAAAGAAGTGTGGTCCCTGGCTGCCTGCCCACCCTGAGGGGCTGTGGAGTTGTCCCTGAGCCCACGCCCAGGCCTGCATCCGCCTCGAGGTCCAGGACCCTCTCGTCCACTGGTCAAAGGGAGTGGTCTGTGGGCCTGCCGGCGTGTGTCCGAGTGTGTGTGGGTGTGCACTCGCGCGCGTGTGCAGTGCATGCTTATGGCGTGTGTCTGAGCGTGCCCCGTGTGTGTAGAGGGAGTGTGTGTGCATGTGTGTGTTGGGGGGGCAGCCCCAGAACTCTGGGGTTGCCACGTGAGTCCCTGTTAGCCCACATGGGTGCAGGCAGGGCCTAGGGAGGGTGCCCACAAAGATGGGGGAGCCCCGGCCCACACTGCCGCCTCCCGGCAGGATGGACTCCGTCGGGGACACACTGCAGAGGCTGCGGGAGACCTTCAGCGCGGGGCGCACGCGGCCGGCTGAGTTCCGGGCCACCCAGCTCGAGGGCCTGGGCCGTTTCCTGCGGGACAACAAGCAGCTTCTGCAGGAGGCTCTGGCGCGGGACCTGCGCAAGGTGAGCGAGTGGGGCAGGCGGGCAGGGGTGGGGGCAGGCAGGCGGGGTGTGGGGTCCGGGACAAGGGGATGGGCATGGCAGCCTCCTCCCCAAAGGGAACTAAAAGCCTCACGCCCTTCCCTGGGCCATCCCCGGCTCTTCTCTGTTCGTCCCGTCACTCATTTCTTCATTCACTCAACAGCTCTTTATTGAGCACCGACTGTGTGCCAGGTTCTGTTCTAGGCTCTGAGGATCGAACAGAGAATAAAACAAAGTCCCACGCCCAGGGAGCTGGCTTCTGGGGGGAGAGTACAACACAATAGTAAATAAATAATTACATAGCATGTCGGATGGTGATGAGCACCATGGAGAGACACTCCCAGTATGAAGGGGGCCAGAGAGGGCCAGGATCGGGGTGCTGTTTTATATGTGGGGGTCAAGGGAAGTTTCTCTGAGAAGGTGACATTTGAGCAGAGACGTGAAGGAGGTGGGGGAAGGAGCCACACGGACATCACGGGAAATGGCACGGGGCACAGCATGTGCAAAGGCCCTGAGGCAGGAGGTGATTGGTATGTTTGTGCTTGAGGAGCAGCAAGGAGGCCAGCATGGCTGGAGTAGAGCCGGGGAGGCAGAGACATACAACAGATAAGGTCCAGGGAAGTGGACTTCACTCCATGTAGGGCCTCACAGCCCAGGAGGACTTCCACTTCCCTTGGTAGAGTGCACGTTAAGGCCTCTGTCCAAACCCCGGAGGCCTGGGGGCTCAGCCCCTGCCAGTTCCAGCAGCAGTCACAGCAGGATCCCAAGAAATGCACTTCCTCGTAGGCAGCCTCCCACCCCCTCAGTCAACAGGGCCCACCGGCGTGGTTGCTTCTGCCCTAGGACAGCTGTCTGGAGGGTCTTCTCTGGGCAAAATGTCCCCCGTGTTTGTACTGAACTCATCTTCGCCCCAACCCTGGGGTACATCCCAGGAGGGGCCTGGGGACTCCTGAGCCCACGGATGGGACCCCACATTGACCCCTGGGGTGGTCCCTTGCTGCCCTCCTCCCTCCCTCCCTCCCTCCCTCCCTCGCCTTTCTGGTGGGCCTGCTGGCTCCACCCGGGTCCTGAGAGATGCCGGAACGGGTGGCGGGGGGGTGTGGCCTTCAGCAGCCTCCTCAGGACCCGCCTGATTTTCAGGCACCTGACTGAGTGTCCGCCCGGTTTCCGGAGCAGTTGTGGACCTTGACACTAGTGTCTCGTGGCATCTGGGGTCGTGGGTCAGGGACACCCCCTTTCCACGGGGGCAGCAGAGGCTGGTGACAAGGGCTTGTCCTGAGGACGTGGCCTCCTGGTACCACCTGCTCCCTTTCTCAGTGTCCCCAACCTTCTGTTTACCATGATGCTCAAGACTGGAGCCAGGTGAGACCCGGGCTCCCTCATCGGCTGTTTCTGGAATCATCTGTTTTCCTATTTATGAAACCAGGCTGCCGACCACACTCTCCTTGACTTCCCAGCCCCAGAGGGGCCAGCAGTGCCTCCCTGTGGACATCGTCCCACTCACCGAGCCTGGTCCAGGACAGAGGCAGCTCCGTGGGGACTGGCACCCCCCTGAGCCTCTGCCACTGCTCACCCGCTGGCCCGGCCTGTCCGGCCCGGGGGGGACCTGACCCGACTGGCTGTCTGGTCTCTTTTCTCCGTTGGGCTCAGATTTCACCTCCTGCCTCTCATCCTGACTCCTCCAGGCTCCTGGAGCCCAAGCTGCACAAAGGGAGCAGCAGCCCAGAAAATTCCATCCAGTGCCTCCCTCGGGCCTCGCCAGCCCAGCCCCCCACCCTCCCCGCACACGCACGCAGCATGTGCCCTGCCCGCTCCGTGTGAATCCTTCCAGGTGGGGGCGGTTACCCCCAGTCACTCTCAGAGGAGGCTCAGAGAAGGCACGCTCTTGCGTAAGGGCGCACAGCCCAGGCTCTTCCAAAGTCAGCGCCTCCAGCCAGGTTCAGTCGGTCCCATAAATCAGCCCAAACCTCACTCAGGTCACAGGCGACATCCAGGTGCAGTGGTCAGGCCACGTCACTCACTGGGCAGGGGCGAAGATGGCGGACACAGGCATAGGAAGGCAGAGAAGGACTGGCGCGGGTGGCTTCTTCGCCCAAGGTCCCAGCGGCCTCTTCCTCAGGGCTTGGGCCTGGCCCTGGCCTTGCCACTGGCCTGCTGAGTGGCCCTGGGCAGGGTGTGCCCTTCTCTGGGCTTCAGTTCGTCCTCGCCGACCCAGCACCTTCCTCTAGCAGGGCTGGGTCTCAGACATCGGGACAGCCCAGCTCTGGTGTCCCTGGCTGTGGGCCTCCTGCTGCCCGCAGCCCACAGGCTGGTCTCTCCTCCCTGGGGAGGCAGCACAGGCATCCGGGCCTGCAGAGATGGGGACAATGTCCCTCTTGATGACTGCCTCCTTCTCCCTCCTGCCCTGGAAATCTGACAGTGACCCCTGGCCCCTGGGCTGTGGGAAGGGATAGCGTTTACCCAGGGGCGCCTGTCCCTTGTGTCTCCTGCAGACTGATATCCACACAGTGGGCCACAGTAGGCCAAACAGACAGTCCTATTAAAACCAGTTGGATCCTGTCCTGCTCTGCTCGACATTCCTTCCCCTGCTGCCTGGCCCCAGAGCCTTGCCCACTCTGCTCCTTGCTAGTTAGGAATACAGCAATCCTGTGCCAACCTCAGCGCCTTTGCACATGCCATGCCCTCTGCCTCCAGGTATCTACAGGCTCCCTCCCTCCCTTTCTTCACTGCTCAAATGTCAGCTCATCCCAGAGGCCAGCACAGACAATCTTGTATAAAATAGAGCACACACAGACACATGCACACTCATGCACTCATTGCCACACACATTCCCTCACTCATGCATGTCCACGCAAACACTTGTGCACTTGCACACACTCACGTGCATGCTCCTTCGTACTCATGCACACACCCAGACACATGCACACACACTCCAGCCATCTCTATTCCCCTCACCCTCTTCCATCTCTTCATTGCCCCCGTCACGCCCTAACACAGCAGTCAGTGCTCTCGTTATCACGTTCACGGTCTGCCTACAATGTCAGCGCCATGGGACAGGTTTCCTTCTGTTCCAGTCACCGCGGCGTTCCACCGGTGTACTGTATATGCTCACTGGACATGGAGAGAATGAATGAATGAATGAGTGAACGAGTACACAGGAGCAGGCCGTGGCTGGAGGAGGCAGTGCCCTCCCAGGGCTCTGGCCGCCTGCTGACCTTGGTCCCCGGTCCGAGGCCTGCCCCTGCCCCTCCCCTGCAGCCGGACTTTGAGTCGGAGGTGTCCGAGTTCAGCATGGCCCAGCACGAGATTCACCTGGCCCTCAGGAACCTGCGGGCCTGGATGAAGGATGAGAAGGTGCCCAGGAGCCTGGTGAGGCGGCCTGGGGTCAGGGTGGAGCCAGAGGGTGGTGCTGCTGGGCTGGGGGGGCTGGGCGCCTCGCCGCTCACCACCACGCTGGCCCCCCAGGGCACACAGCTGGACAGGGCCTTCATCCGGAAGGAGCCCTTCGGCCTAGTGCTCATCATCGTCCCCTGGAACTACCCCCTGAACCTGACCCTGGTGCCCCTGGTGGGCGCCCTCGCTGCAGGTGAGAGCCAAGCTCCCCACTCTCATCTCCTCCCTCTGGACGGGGGCCACAGGGCCAGGGAGGAGCGGGAAGCTGGCACCAGTTGGCTAAGAAAGCCTAGTTCCCATGCGGTCCACCATCCCCGGGCTGTGTGACCTTGGGCCCCTCATGGTACCTCTCTGAGCCAGATTCTTCACCTGAAGGTGGAGTGAGGCAGGCGCTGCCCTGCAGGCGTGAGGACTGAATGGAGCCGGGGAGCGGCTACACCTCTCCCAGATCTCGCCCTGCCTTGTCCTGCCCTGCAGGGAACTGTGTGGTGCTGAAGCCGTCGGAGATCAGCAAGAACATGGAGCAGGTCCTGGCTGAGGTGCTGCCCCGATACCTGGACCAGGTGAGCAGGGCCCAGGGCAGACGGACCAGACGCACTCAGGCTGATGAGGGTCAGGCAGGTTCCCAGGGGCTGGACAGGCTGTGGCATGGCCCCTCGGGCAAGACCTGAGTTCCAACCTCAATCCTGCCTCCTCTGGGTTATGTGGCCGTGGCCAGGTCACCACCCTCTCGGCCTCAGTTTCCCTCTGAGTAAAACAGAGAGGTGGCAATCACAGCTGTGCTCTGAGGAGCCCGTTTCCTGGGGGTCCCTGTCTGTCTTCTGGTCGCCCTGCTCCCCTGGCTCTGGCCTCAGCCCTCCCCCAACCAGGCCCCAATCTCACCCCTGTTGGGCTGGAACCGCTCACATCCGGCTCCCCCCCCCCCCCCCCCCCCCCCCCCCCCCCCCGGAGCTCTCCGCTCCCTGCCTCACCTCCACCAGCCCCAGCGGGAGCCCTGGCGAAGCTGGGAAGCTGGGTCAGGCCGGGCGGGGTGGGCGGTCCCAGGCCGGCAGGCCGCCCCCTGGGCTCTCAGGCCGGGGTCCCAGAGGGAGCCCTCGCCCGTCCGCCTTGCAGAGCTGCTTTGCGATGGTGCTGGGCGGGCCCGAGGAGACGGGGCAGCTGCTGGAGCACAGGTTCGACTATATCTTCTTCACAGGTGAGGAGCCTGCTGCAGGGGGCCGGGGGGACGAGGTGGAGGCCTGAGCCCAGCCCCACCCTCAGGGGTCCTGTCCCCAACTCTGAGAGAGGCCACAAGGGCCCAAGGCAGACGGACAGCTGGGGAGGATGGAGACTGAGGCGAGCACTGAGTGGTGCTCCCGGCTCCAGGACGGGCTTGCTCCTCTCTCCTCAAGCAAGCTTGGGGAGCAGCCTGGGACCCCTCGGGACCCATGACAGGGCTGGGCTAGGTCCCATCCCCCCGCCACGGGCCCCTCTGCCAATCACAATCTCATGAATCACAGCATCTACCCTTTCTGAGTGCCCTCTGCGTCGGGCGCTTATCATGACTCCACTGCCCCTCATCCACCGCCCCACCGCCCCACGGCCTTATCCACGGCCCCACCGCCCCACGGCCTTATCCATGACCCCACTGCCCTCCTTCTGGTGGGCTGGACAGATGAGGGGCCAGAGGCTAGGATGACAGAGCTGCAGTGCTCAGCCCAGGTCACCCTGCTGGCCAGGATTGGGGCAGGCCTGATTTTACTCCCAGGCCCTTGGGCAGAATGGATCTCAGAGGTCACCTGCCATCACCCTGGCATGTGCCTGAGTGACCCAGATACCCCCTAGCTTCCAGTGAGCAGCACAGAGTTTCTAGAGGAGACGAAAGGCCAAGGATGCATGTGGCCATGTTCCGGTGCCAGGGCCTGGAGAGGGGAGAAGGCGGGGACCCCCCAGCAGTGTCTGAACCTCCTCGCTGACCTGCTTCTGCCTCGCATGCCTTGTCCTCGTCAGAGCAGGGGACATGCTACCCCTCCCTCTCCTCCCCAGACTCTGCCGGACAGGAGGGTGACTGCGGGAGCAGAAGACCGGGTCCTCAGCTGTTCCTGCAGATTCCTAGGGGGTGGGAGGAGCAGCAGAAGGATGTCAGCCCACCTTTCACCATCAGGCCCCACAGCTTGGTGGGCTCTGGCCTTGGCTCCCCAGGCTGGAGGTGCAGAAGCCAGGCAGACCCCAGGAGGCTGGCTTCCGGGCCAGGTGCCCAGGGTAGCCTGTGCAGAGGCTGGCAGACCAGCCTGGAACCTACTCTGCCAAGACCTCTTGACTTCTCCAGGCCTCACTTTCCTCATCTGTAGGACAGGGGCAATCCCTAAGTCCAGGCCTGTCTCAAGGACAAATGGACACAAGGAGAGCTTTAGTTAGAGCGCATGGCCTGGGGAGTATCCATTCATTTACTCACTCGCTGAATGGTTCCTGGGGGCCGTGCTGTGCCCAGCACCAGCCAGGCCCTGGGATAAGCAGGAACTGTGGGGACAAAGGCTCCCGCCCTCACGGAGCTCGCATTATAACGGGCCAGTCGAGGGTGCATGGCCGTGGTAGGGAGGCGACCAGTGGTGGAATTCAACAAGGGGTGAGGGTCGGGAAGGCCTCAGACAAGGAGATGTTGGAGCAGAGACTAAAGGACCTGAGGGAGGACTCTCAGGCGCAGGGGACACACGCGGGGCCTGGAGGGGAGGGGGCGAGGCCGGGAAGCAGGAGGAGCCAAGAGCAGAGGGGAGACTGCACTTTTGGCTCTCGCAGGTGGTGGTACCCAGGAGGAAAGGCCAGGGCCATCACAACAGACATGGCCACATGGGACACTGGGCTGGAGCGGGGCAGGAGCATCTTGAGGCCCGGTGGGCTTTAGGTCAGCGGGGGCTGAGTGGCGGAGGGGATGGTGAGCCCCAGGAGATGAACCCAAAGGAGAGGTGGGGACAGGCTGGGCCCTCCACTTAGAGGTGAGGGAGGGAAGCAACAGAGGGTGGCAGGGCTGCCAGGTTAGGTCAGAGAAAGGGGAGAACCAGCTGGAGCGGGACTCCGGCCTCGGGCAATAGGAGTCACTGAAGGTTCTAGAGGAGAGCGGAGAGGTGGGAAGGGTGCAGGGCGGCATGTTAGAGAGTCACCTGCAGAGGTGAGGCGGGGATCAGAAGCAGGGAGACCAGACAGGAGGCAGGGGGCTCCCGGACTTCCAACAAGGCAGGCCAGGAGAGCGAGCAGCTGTCCTGGCTCACAGCCGGGCAGAACTCTGCGGAGACCCTGCACTGTGGGCCTGGGCCTGGGGGGAGACAGGACAAGGTTCTGGGGCAGCAACTGGCAAGGGGAGGCCAGGTGAGGGCTGCACCCATCTGACTCAATGGCCTATCCAGGGAGGCGCAGGGCCAGGAGTGATCCCCCCTCGAGGGGTCCCAGCCCCCGGGCTGAGGCCAGCTGCTGGGTCCAAGCGACTGAGGGCCACTTGGGTGTGTCTATGCCTAGGGAGCCCTCGAGTGGGCAGGATAGTCATGACTGCGGCCGCCAAGCACCTGACGCCCGTCACACTGGAGCTGGGGGGCAAGAACCCCTGCTACGTGGATGACAACTGCGACCCCGAGACCGTGGCCAACCGCGTGGCCTTTTTCCGCTACTTCAACACGGGCCAGACCTGCGTGGCCCCCGACTACGTGCTGTGCAGCCCCGAGATGCAGGAGCGGCTGCTGCCCGCCCTGCAGAGCACCATAGCCCGCTTCTTCGGCGAAGACCCCCGGAGCTCCCCGAACCTGGGCCGCATCATCAATGACAAGCATTTCCAGCGGCTCCAGGGCCTGCTGGGCTGCGGCCGCGTGGCCATTGGGGGCCAGAGCGACCAGAGCGATCGCTACATCGGTGAGTCGTGCTCTCCTCGCCCCCCAGGCTAAGGCCCTCCTGCGTCGGAGGCACAGCTGGGCCCCGAGTCTGGGCCCGGCCCAAGCCCTTGGCCCTCGGGCTCCCACGGCCCCACTGCCAGAGCCCCGCCTGATCGACGGCTCCGGTGCCGCGATCCCATGACGCTAGTGGTCCCCATGCCACGGTCTGCGCCCGTGACCCCATGATGCCACACTCTGGCCCCAGCTCTGATTCTCTAAGTTGGGACCCCAGTGTTCCAGGGCCCCGAGTGCTCTGATTCCAAACTTCCATCCCACGATCCGGGGCTCCCTGGGGCCGTGACCCCAGGTCCCATGAGCCCGCAACTCCTGGGTGCTGAACTCCTGTGCCCGTCCTGAGCGTCTGCTGTGCTGTGATTACAAAGCGGCCCTGTCTCCCAGGCCACATGGCACAGCTGGCGATGCTGCTGCTCTAACGGGCTGGGACCTCGGACTCCAGGGGTCTAAGATCCCATCACCCCCTGACTGTAAGACCGAGGCTGAGGGGTTCTCTGGGCCCCGTAGGCCCTGGTCCCCTGGTCAGGCTGGGGAACCCCTCACGGTCACTTCTCAGGGGCTCTGGGGAGACTCCCCTCCCTAGAACCTCCCTGAGCCTGGAGCCCTGGGTCCCTGGGCGCTGCCGGAGGCCCCACCCCGGGGCTGAGCCGTCCCCTGTGCCTGGACAGCACCCACGGTGCTGGTGGACGTGCAGGAGACGGAGCCGGTGATGCAGGAGGAGATCTTCGGGCCCATCCTGCCCATCGTGAACGTGAGGAGCCTGGACGAGGCCATCGACTTCATCAACCGTCGGGAGAAGCCCCTGGCGTTGTACGCCTTCTCCAAGAGCAGTGAGGTGGGGGCTCAGGCAGGGCTGGGGCAACAGAGGGGCTGGACAGAGGTGAGGGCAGGTGCCAGCAGTGGACGGTGGAGTGGTGGCAGCCGAGGGGGAGGTGGCTCCAGCACCAGAGTGGACCAGGAGGCCTAGTGGGGGGGTTGGAATCCTGGCCCCTCTGGGATAGTCACAGGAGTTCTGGGATGGTGGCACCCTTGCTCTGTCCCTGTCCTTTCTCTCTGGGAGCAGCCGGGCCCTCCAATCTAGGCCACACTCTCCTGGGCCTTCAGTGGGCAGCTCCCCAGGTCTTCTCCAGGGTCCAGTGTCCTCTCGGTCAGCCACTGCCTCTCTGCTCATCCTCGTCATCTCGGCCTGGTGCCTGGGTCATGAAAGGCACACACAATGACCGGGGAAGGGCGCATGACCAGAACAAGCAGGCTGAGAATGAGCCCTGGGCCCCCACCCTACTCAAGCCCCAGGGCAGCCCGGGAGCCTCAGGACACGACTCCCCTCTCACCCAGCTCTCATGAGATCTTTCCTGGACTGGACAGGTTTTTTAAAATCAACTTTTTATTCTGGAGTAATTTCAGATTTACAGAAAAGTTGCAGACAGTCAGGGAGTTCCCATGTCCCCGGCACCATTTCCCCATTTAAGGCCCCTCACGTTGGACACTGACATTAGTACATTACTGTCGACCACACTCCAGACTTGATTTGGATTCGTCAGTGGCATCCAAGCCAGGGTCTCACGTCACATTTAGTTGTCAAGGCTCCTCTGGCCGGTGACTGCCTCTCAGCTTGAGAGGTACCGGCCAGGTGTCCTGCAGAACGTCCCCCATCTCACTGGTCCATTGTTTTCCTGTGAAAGAATAACAGAGGCCAGGGCCGGTCTCTGCCCATCACATCAGGGCACATGAGAGCCACACGTTACAGAGACGGCCAAGGTCGTGTCTGCAGGGGTCTCCACTGAGGAGTTACTATTTCTCCCTTTCCTTACTCTGTTCTTTGGGAGCAAGTCACTAAGTCTAGCCCATTTTCAACACGAGGGGAGCGACAAATCTCTGCCAGCTGCAGGGGGAGTAGGCACATTTACTCTCTGGCTTCTGTAAGAAAGACGTGTCTCTTGAATCATTTCTCTCCATGTGCATGGACTTGTGAGCATCTGCTCTATTCTCCGGGTGACAATCCAATTCCACTGTTTCTTTCCTCAAATTGTCCTTGCTCTGGACACTGGCAGCGGCTGTGTCCCTGAGGCGCGCTGTCCTTTCTTTTCCAACCACGTCCTTCCGTTGGGTCTTTCCTTCCTTCCTTCCGGGTCTACAAGATGCTTTGGGCTCATCTTGTATTTTCCCGCCCAGCCCTAGCATCAGCCGTTCCTCTAAGGAGCCCTGGTTTATCTGGATAACGTGAACTTTAGGAACGCTACACAAGTGTTTTGGAAGTGGGGTCATCTGGCATAGTGGCTTTTAAGCTTTTCTGACCACCCAGCACTGGCCCCAGGACACAGAATGACACCTAAGACACAGGTCCACCCCATATGACTGGCTCTCACTCCTCGCAAAGCACTGATGCTTTCTACTTCATCTTCCGGCATTGTCTTAAGGTGCTGGTCTCAAGGTGACTTCTGAGCCATGGGTGGGGGTCCACTCCACCCACCATCGGCTAAGCCCTGACCCAGCCATTGTCTGAGGGCCACACGTTGTAACTAAATATAGTGAAGTTTTCGTCCAATGACTCTCTAGTGTCTACTCGCCTTTTTTCCCCTCTCATTCTTCAAATAGACCTGTAGGCTGGAGAGGAGGGGCCTGCATTGAGCCAAGCAAGGGCCAAGTTCGTGTTTCTAAAATACAACTCTGACCGCATCACCACATCTAAATGTCCCCTGTGCTGCACACCACGCAGGCCCCTCTACCGCTTCCCTGCCCCTCGGCCGCGCCCCCTGCCCTTCACCTGCCTGGGGACCCTCTTTCTGGTCTCTGCCAGAACCACTCCTGACCCCGCTTCAGACTCGGCAGGCACATCCCATCCCTCCCGGGACGCCTCTCTGAGTCGCCAGAACCTCACCCTGCACTCTCCCTGTCCCCGGGCGACCGCTGGGTTTCCCGCCTCATCTCGGGCCAGAGTCTGTGTCCCCAGCACCCTGCAAGGGCCACATGCAAGTGGATGCTCAGGAAACATGTCTCTGGTTGGGGGCTCGGTGGCAAGCTGCTACACAACCACGCCTGTCCCGCCACCCGCTTCAGCTCACGCAGTGGCCTCAGACCCTGGAAGGGGTTCCAGGGCCCTGAGGGGGCCGGGCGGGGCCCCTGGGGCCCGGGGGTAGGCTGGCTGGCCTCCCGCTGCCCGGCCTCGAGGCCTCACGGCTGTTTCTCTCCCAGGTGGTGAAGCAGGTGCTGGCCCGGACCAGCAGTGGGGGCTTCTGCGGGAACGATGGCTTCATGCACGTGTCCCTCGCCAGCCTGCCCTTCGGAGGAGTGGGTAGGTGCCAGCACAGCCCAGCACCGCCATCCTGCTTCCCTCTGCAGTCTGGAGCGGAACCTTCCAGACCTGTCTGCATTTCCATATGTAGGAGGACCCACAGATACGCAGCTCAGGTTGTTTTCAAACACCACTGTGACCGCTGGCCACTGCCTGCCACGGCTCTTCTCCCGAGAGCACGGCTTCCAGGCTGCCCGTCGGCACGCACAGGGCGGCCTGCGTGTCCTCTTGATCCCGTGGTGAAGCAGCATGCTGTTCCTTTAACCCCGCCCATGGACTGAGGAGGCCAATCCTCGGCATGTCACCCCCCCAGGAGACAGGGGCTCTTGCCAGCTCCGCCTGCCCCTGGTGAGGGAGGACGCCCTCAAGCCCCAGCAGGCCCCATGACAGCTGCAAAGTCCTCACCTCCAGAGCAGGAAACTGTGGGGCTGGCCCTAGCAAGCCCAACGGCTGTGTGATCTGGGGTAGCCACTTCCCCTCTCTGAGCCCACCTCCTCCTCAGTGGAACGGGAGGGCCAGAGACTTGAGGTCCCTCCACCTGTCCAGACTTGGCACCAGAGTAAATGACCAGCAGGGCCTGCACCCTCCCTGGAGAGCGGCCGGTGCCCCAGGAGCACACGGCGGGCTGAGAGCTGCCACTGTGGCAGTGCAGGCCCCCAGGGCTGGGCACCGCTGCTGTCCCTGGCTCTGGAGCCCCCTGCCCCCAGCCCGCCTGGCTGCCCCTTCTCCAGTCCTAGCACTGCCTCCTCAGGGAAGCGTGGGGTCAGTCTGGGAGCCCATCTGACCCTGCTTCGACCCTGCTGGAAACTTCCACCGCTCCCAGGCCCCTTGGGATCAAGCCAGGCCCCCATGACTCCCAGCTTCCTGAGGCTGGCTCTTCCTGGTCTGGCCTCTCTCTTCACTTCCCTGCCTGCTGCCCTAGCCACGCAGAGCTCTGCACAGGTCCTAACATACCACAGGTCACCCACCTCCAAGGCTCTCTGAGTTGCCCCAAGCCTGGGTCCCTCTTGCCCCAACCCACCCTCTTCATTTGGTCAACTCCACATTCCTCAGGCCTCGCTCACTCCAGGAAGCCCTCCCTGATTACCCCCAACTCCACCAGGATGGGTCCCTGAACTTCCCAGTGCAGAAGCTGCCTGGTCCCTGACTCCCTCCCTATGTAGACGCCGAGGCCTCATAACAACACAGCACTTACTGGGTCCACAGGTCTGAACACTCACCCAATCCTCACGACTCTAGGAGGTGGGTGCCATTGTTACCCCATGTCACAGAGGAGAGGAAGGCGAAGTCACTTGCCCAAGGTGACACAGCTAGTTCAGAGCTAGGACCAACCCCAGGCAACCACTCTGGCGTCCACACTCTTGAGTGCTATCTACCTCCCTTGCCCTAACACCTGGCACGGAACCTGGTGTCCCCAATGTTTACTGAGCTGGTGCGAGGCTCAGGGTGAAGCCTTCACCCACAGTCTCTCATAACTAGCCCACTTTACAGATGGGGAAACTGAGGCTCGGAGGGGTGAAGTAGCGCACCCAGACCCGGCAGAGCCCAGGTCTGTCTGATGTCACTTCGGCTGCCACTGAGGGCCTGACTGCCATGTCCCATGCCACCATACAGGTGCCAGCGGGATGGGAAGATACCACGGCAAGTTCTCCTTCGACACCTTCTCCCACCACCGCGGCTGCCTCCTGCGCAGCCAGGGAATGGAGAAGATTTACTCCATCCGCTACCCGCCCTACACGCCGCGCAACCTGAGGATGCTGCTGGTGGCCATGGAGACCCGCAGCTGCAGCTGCACCCTGCTGTGAGCCCACCTGGGGCGCCAGGGCACCAAGCATCGCTCCCGGCTCACATCTGAGTCCTCTGCTGCTGCGCCCACCTGTGGCTGGTGGAGATGTGGCCTGGGGTCCAGGGCACAAGGAGGAAGGCCCAGCCAAGGCCACAGCCCAGATCTGTGCTTGCCCTCCTCCCTCCTGGGGCTTTCCCCTTCCGCCTCTGGCCCTCAGCCTCCTCCCTCAGCCGCCCCTCTGGGGTGGGGGAGCTGGGAGACAGCGCAGTAAGCTGCCCTCCCACCCCCACGCTGGCCACCAGTGTCCTGGGAGAGAAGGGGAGACGTGGGCACCTCTGAGTCACCCCCTTCCTGTGGAGGCTGCAGCAGAAGGGGCCCTGGCATCTGGTCCAGGCCACACTGTGGACCCCCTGGGACCTGGGCCTTTGTGTGAGTAAACTTGGGAGCTAAATAAATACGAGCTGCTGACCCTGAGCTCCAGGAGTCCCGTCCTCCACTTGGCGGGGAGAGGCGACCTCTCTCTTCTCTCCCCACCCCCAGACCAGGCTGACAGACGCCTGCAGTGGGGTGTCCCAGCCTTCGGCGTGCGCCTTTCAGGAGCTCTGAACCCACTCTTGTCCCCCAAGTGGCCGGCCCCGGGCGCCTTCCCCTCACCACATCCCCTTGGATTTATCCTCTTCCCTGTCCTGCTCATACCCCTGGGCCCCGACGCCACAGGATGGCCCCCTATCCACTTAGCCGCTGAGGCCAAACCCCCCGGGCCTCCTGCTCGACACCCCTCCTCATCTGCCCTGTCCCACCTTTGGGAAGTCCTGACAACACTCCAATGCTGCAGAACTCGCGCGATCCACACACTGATGGCCAGCCAGGGGTCATCCATCACCCACCCTCTCCCCCCAGGCCTGGCCCTGCTCAGCACATCCCCGGGTCTTCCCAAAGCTCTCTGGACCAGGGCAGCCCTCAGCCGGAACCCCGTCAGTGGCTCCCTATAGCCCACAAGTCTGGACCCGGAACCGGCCTTCGGAGGCCCCTCAGCCTGTCCTTGTCCTCTTCCAAAACATGTGACATGTCCCCGTGGGAGGACCTCTGCACACACGCTGGCATGCTCTCTCTGCCCTTCCTGGCCTGCCGAGCTCCTACTCGGCCTCAGCTTGGACATCACCTCCTCCAGAAAGTCTTCCCTGACCACCTCCCACTTCCCTAGATGCAGAGGTGGCCTCCGAGGTCCCTTTGGGAGGAAACACGGGTTTGGGGGCTGTTGAGGGACGGGCTCCCGAGTCATATAGATGCCGGAACGCGGCAGGCGGCCGCACTTCGAAGCTCTCCGGCTAGGGCAAAGGGACTAAACAAGCCCGTGCCTCAGTTTCCCCATCTGTAAAGCGAGAATAATCGTTCCTCCACACGCGCCTGCTATGAGGACTAAATGAAGCAGCCTGAGGGAAGGTTTAGCACGGAGCAGGCACGGCTGCGCGCAGAAACACTGCCGGCCGCGAGTCTCATCACCGTCATCACGCCCTCCGCGCCGAGGCCGAGCGGGTTTCCTCCGTCCGACCCAGGACGCCCGGTCAGACCCGGAGCCGCTTCCTAAACCACGCCCCGGATGCCCCGCCCCCAGCGGAGCGGGCGTCCTCGCTTATTGGTCTCTCCAATCCAACATGGCGGCGCTCTACGTAACTTCAAGCGCTCGCTCTTCCCCAGCCAATCAGAGAAAAGACATTTCTAGATCCCGCCTCTTTCAGTGCGCATTGGCCAATCAGACTACACCATGAAGGATCAACGCGGCAGAGGCGAAGCCGGCCAGCGCAATGGCAGCGTCCCAGAATGTAGGCTCCGCCTCTCGGCGGACAGGCCGCTAGGCACGGGAAGGAGCGGCAGGGCTTCAAGGTGGGTGTTCGGGGCTCGGCTGTTAAGGCCGAGCCTGGGCGGCGCGGCGTCGGGGGCGAATGTAGTATCTCCGTTGGCCCCGCCAGCTCTGCGCCCGCCCTTCATCTCGGCCGCTCAGAACGCGCTGCCTCTGTGTCCTTGAGCGTGCAGCTGGCGCCCTGGCCAGCCGGCGCCCTCGGGGCGCATGCGCCGCCTGCTTCCGTGGGGTCAGAGGTCATGGGGAAGGTTGGGGACGGTGCCGGGCTGGGCGCCTTGCGGTGGAGTCAGTGGTCAAAAGAAGCGGGCCCGCTAGAGTCACAGGGCAAGGAAGGGGCACTTTGGAGCTCCGGGCTAAGCGCCGGGCTCCAGGCTAAACCCTTGGCGCCACGAAGTCCATTCTCATGACCCCCATTTCACGGATGAGGAAGGCTAGGTGACCTCCCCTGCCCAAGGTCACTGGGCAGCCAGGGAGACGGTTCCAGAAGAGCCGTGATGCAGGGGAAAGAGTGTTATCTTAAGAGTTATGGAAACCCTTAAAGGGTTTCCAGCGGGGGAGGGCTCGGGGTGTGAAGGGAGGGGCCTGCCCCGGTCCCTGTCCTGTTGCCACCCCCTAGTGTGTGACTTTGGGCAAGTCACTTAACATGACCCAGCTGTGTCTCTGCTGTGCCTGCCTCGTGGGGGCCTCGTAAGGACACAGTGACAGTGCGTGCGACCCCCAGCACAGCAGGGATCGGTCATAAATGCGGGTGGCTCCTGGTGGTGGTATTTGAGTCAAGTTTGGGCAGGATGTACGGGGGAGGGGAGCTCTGATGGGGAAGGGAGGGGGTTGGGAAGTCTACAGATTTCTTAGAAGGCGAGATAGATAGGACATTGGGTCTCAGGTAGTCCCTAAATCTGAGCCCAGCTGAGCTGGGTCAGGTTGGAGGGCTGGGCAGTGCTGTGCCCCCGACGGGAATGGGGGTGAGGAGGGCACAAAATGACACAGTGGCACCTGCAGTGCCGGAGTTGCTGGCGGGGGGGGGGGGGAGGCGGGGCTGGGCCCCACCCATGCCATCCTCCCTCTCCGTGCCCGCAGATGCGCTGCCTGACTACACCCACGCTGCTCCGGGCCCTGGCCCAGGCCGCACGTGCAGGTAGGACCTGGGGAGCGTTTCCTGGCTGTGGGGGAGCCCGGGTTCCCGGCAGAGGTCGCAGCTGCACAGCGTAACCCCTCTCCTTGCAGGGCATCCTGGTGGCCGGAGCCTCCACAGCAGCACGGTGGCAGCCACCTACAGTGAGTCCTGGGCGCCTGGAACCTCAGCCTCTCTGATCAGGGTCCCGCCAGAGACAGGGGAGGAGCCTGGATTCTAGTGTCGGCTTTGCTGGGGGCGCCCGCGCTCTGAGCCTCAGCTTCCCCTCTAAAATGAGGATGGTGATCCAGACTGAATATGATTCGTGGGGCAGAGTCCATCATTGCAGGGGGCTGGGGCTTTCCCCATGGCCACACAGTGTGATCTCAGAGCTCAGGGACCGGGAGGGAGCTGCCATCCCTCTCCACCTGGACTCCGGCTCCCAAGCCCCTTCCCACCCGCCTCGGCTCCTGGGCTCGGACAGCCGCACAGGCTCAGGGAGAAGCGAGGACTGCCGAGGGCCAGAGGCCGGCCTTGCGGGGCGCCTGCTGAGGCGGGGAGGGTTCAGTGAATGAGCGTGCCCCTGTTGTACCTGCAAGGGGGGCCTGGCCTCACCTCCCTGCGCTGGGGTCCTTGGGGAGGGCCTGTTGGCGGCCCCCTGCCACAGCCCCTCTGCCCACCTCCCCTGCAGAGTACGTGAACCTGCGGGAACCCTCAATGGACATGAAGTCCGTGACTGACCGGGCGGCTCAGACCCTGCTGTGGACCGAGCTCATCCGAGGTGGGCCCTGGGGGAGGGGGAGGCGGCCTGGGGGTGGGCACCCTGTGTCTGGGAGGAGGGGCCCTCACCCACCACGCCTGTGCCACCCACAGGCCTGGGCATGACTCTGAGCTACCTGTTCCGGGAGCCGGCCACCATCAACTACCCATTTGAGAAGGGTCCGCTGAGCCCCCGCTTCCGAGGGGAGCATGCACTGCGCCGCTACCCATCTGGGGAGGAGCGTTGCATTGCCTGCAAGCTTTGTGAGGCTGTCTGCCCCGCCCAGGTGAGCCCCTGACCCCAGCGGACCACCACCCCCCGCCCCCTGCCACTGTGCCTAGAGCCTGGCTCCCCTGCTGGCTGTGTGTCCCCAGGAAAGTCCCTTTCCCTCTCTGAGCCACTTCCCTCTTCTGAACGGGAACCATGAGGCCATGTTGCCGGGGCCATCCCAGAGTCAGTGAGTCAGCAGGATAAAGCGTCCAGTCCTGAGCTGGCCTCGTGACACGTGTGGGTCCTGCCCTGGGGGGTCTGGTCAGAGACATGAAACCTGAGGATCTCCACTTTTTCCTGGACACAGCAGCAGGTCCAGGAGCCCTGCCTGTGTGCCCATCACAGGGCCAGACGCGGAGACACACGCCACCGCGAGGCTCTTGTCACCTCTGGTTGCAGTGCCTTTGAGCCCCCCACGTTTGGTTCTGTTGGAGGGTCCCAGGCGGGCTGCCTGGAGTGGGGGGCTGTTGGTATAGAGACGGGAGGACACGATCACAGCTCCCGTGCAGGTGTGTGGGCGTGCCAGCGGGCACAGCGGTTACTCATGTCCTCGGCTCTGTGAGTCAGGACAGCTTCTGTCTGAGTCCTGGCTCATCCAGACTGCTCCCAGGTCCTCCAGGCCGCAGGCTGTGGCCTTGCGATCTCCAGCGCAGCCACCGACCTGGAGAAGGTCGGAGAGCCCAAAACAGCAGCACAGATAACAGTCACGGCTTCCAGGTGTGAGGGTGGCCCATGGACCAGGCGCTGGGCCGAGCTCACGACTTACATGATCTCACTTAATCTCTACAGCCGCTCTGGGAGCTACATTCTCGTTCCCGTTGGTATAGGTAGGGGAAACTGAGGCACCAAGAAATGGGGCTATGAGCCAGAGGCCCCACTGTGAGCAGTGGGCATTACATTCCTAGGGACGTGTGAAGGCCTTTGCCATGCCCCTTAGAAGTCCTCCTGGCTGTGGGAGGCCCCGGCCACCCCTTCCCCCCCGCCCCCCCCAGCACAAGGCTGTGCCCCGGCACGTAGAGTGAAGGACCGGCCTTCGAGGCTGGGCTCTGCCCCTCACTCGCTGTGTGGCTTTGGAAAGCCTCTCAACCTCTCTGAGCCTCAGTTTGCTCGTCCATTAAATGAGGAGACCCAAACGTAACTGGGAGGGTGTTTCCTCCCACAAGCAACGGTTAGTGAGCCTTTTTTATAGGGTGAGACCCTTGGGGCTCCAGGTGCTGCAGTGAACAAAGCAGGCAGCTGCCCTCCCCTCGTGGGACTTATGTTCTCAGGCAGGAGGATCCTGGCAGTTAACAAACGAATAATCCAGAAAAGCGCCAGCTAGGGCAAGTGCTAGGTAGAGGCTAACTTGAGAGGAGTCAGGAAAGGTGCGTCTGGGCCGTGAGTGGATGACGGAGGGGCCGCTCTGTAGGCCCCCAGGGGGTGAGCCCCCCACGGGGGGCAGGCGTGGGGATGAGCGGTGAGGGGTGGCCCCT